TACATCAATAATGACTAAGGAATAGTTAGAATAGAATGTTTGAGCATTATTTGCTTTCTAGCAAAATGGTGACATGCCTCATATACATCACTTGCATTGTCCTAGAGAAAGGAAGGGGCAGTGTTTTGTTCCTTTGTGTCATTTATAGAGGTGGGTGCTTTTCTCAGTTTAGTTACTATGCTGTTTCAAACATGCCTGTTCATTTACAAATGGGTTTAGATACACCATTAGAAAAGGCACCACTTGCTAATTATACGACTGAGAAGGTATGACATTCTTAAATCATTGCACTAACACAACAGAAAACACTTCTCTGCATCTGTTTTTATCTGGCTAGAGGTATGAAATGTGAATGTTCACATAGCTTAAAAAAATAAAATACAGCTTGACTGCAACAGTGCAATGTAGGATGAAATCATTACGAGTAAGCCAGGCAACTTAATACATTCAAATGGCTTTGGCCTGTGAACTATCCAACCACAGAATATACTCACACACTCCATTTTAATCTCTTTTATGAGTATTAAACCAAATTTGTTGCAATCACGTTATCTATTTGAAGAGGAAAAACAACCTTACAAGATCACACTGTACCCACCTGTTAATCCTGAAATCACTGTTGAGATTTACGTTGGTTAGACTTGTTTCTGAGGATATTCTCTCAGTCTCGACTTTATTTTTGTCTTTGTTATTCACAGCTAGTGTCAGACCACAGCGTGCCACATGCACTGACTTATTTATAAGAATGTTTATTTATTGGAAAATGGAAAATTTGCACATACCCAGATGCATGAGCTATGTTATGGGGAAGCTGACTTCCCCCGTGTGAAGAAAAAGAAACCCAGAGTCAGGAGCACAATGGTCACACCTCAATCATCTCAGTTTCTTCTATTCTCTTAACCAACCACCATGCCTATACGAAGGGGTTGCTGTCTACTATAAGTGACTACTCTGAACTGGAATCATCCCGTCCAGCTTGAAGAGCTCTTCAGTTCTTCATTCCTGCTCTGTGTGCCACTCCTGTGCTCTAAGACCCAGCTGTCTGACTTTTACTAAGGAACAGTACGCAATTCTTTCCGTCTTACCTGGCTGATAACTTCACATTTAGGGATCTGCTTAACCACAGTTCTTTCTGAATAATGAAAATGGAAAACGCAGCTCTCCTCCTCTCTCTTTCTCTGTTCCCCCTGGCTGCTGGAATTGCTACTGATCAGGACAGTGTTCTTGGTTCTCCCTCCTCTGAAAATTTTAATTTTTATGCTGGGAAATAAGGGTTACAAAAAAAAACAACAAAAACAACAACAAAAAAAAAACAAACACCGTTACTTGAAAAACTTAGTTTCAAAGGATAACTTTCAAAAGCTATTTCATCCTATCAAGCAAATAGTTACCACAAGAGTTTGATCAAAGCTTAATTTTGGTGCCTTAGTAACAGTGGGCACATTCTCCCTCTGTTCTTATTTACGCTCTCTCTGCTGAGTGGCAGTAACACTCAAAAGCCTCGAGCTGTTTGCCAGCATCAACATCTAATCTCGGTACCCCTCGTGCTACAGCATCCACAACAGTTTAAGGGAAAGAGAGAGCGAAGAGAACAAAGTCAGATAAAAGTGACTTGAAGCTTTCACAGGGTTAGTGGGAAGGTCTACATGAAGAATAACTCTTAGCATCTTTCTTCTCACTTCCCTATTGTTTAGAAAAGTCCTTGACCTCAGAGAAATTGCCTGATTTCGGTCTGTACTCGGTGTATGCTGGGATGGTCTTGGTTTCTTTCTCCCAAACTTTCTTTTAAGCACCATATAAATAAAACTGCTGTAGCTGTTTAAAAGTAATGAGTTCTACTGATGCCTGGAAGAGAAAATGTGAGAAAAGATAACAGGAGGTCAAGTCAGAAAAACAGGCAGCTGGGAGAAGGAACAGCTTTTAAAGATTTTTTGAGAAAATGAAAAGGGATTGAAATTCAATATGAATACTAAAACCTCAGCATTAACAATAAAAACTTTCCATAATAAGCATCTCCAGGGATAAGGCATCCTTTGGAGTTTGACTTCAGGCCCCAATCCAGCAAAGTACTTAAGCCTGTGAGTAGCATTATTGAACTCAACCTATGTCAATGGGATTGGCTCATGCTTAAGTTTAAACATGTACTTAAGTGCTTTGCTGGATCCAAGCCATGCTTGTTTGAGGCTATGGTTACCTTATACATGGGAATTATCTATCAAACACAATTACCTTTCAAATGGGTAAGGGATATGAAGTGCTAATCATGCAGTGATACTTGGTGAAGCAGCTATCTGAAGTTCAGGCAACATTTTTTCCATGTAGATACTCCGACTTGAACACTAGCTGCTTGCACTTAAATATCCAAGAATGGCCAGGCTGCAAAGTACTTGATAGAAATTAATTCCTTTAAACTTAATTCCAGTGGTTGTTACACCAAGTTTAGTGCCTTCTTCAGACATCATCATCATCCAGTATAACAGCCCAGAGAACATTATTATTTTCAACTTTTTTTTTTTTAAACTATGATCTTCTGAAATCTAAACATGCTTCCAATTTCAGGCTGTTCCTTTCTAGAGAACAGAAATATTATCAATTGCTTTACATTCGTCTATCTCTGCTTCATCTTACGTGTTTCAGGAAAGATCAAAAATAACCCCAGTTGCCTTATTTTAAATACACGTGGGGCCCCTGGGTTCCACCAAAGAGCTGTATCCTCCAATAATGCAGGGATCAGAGTTGTAGTAACAGAAGAAGTATTCCACAGCAGAGGCCCACAGAAAAAAAAAAAAAAATAAAAAATCCCCCGAGAACGGGAACAATAGTGAAAGAAAGTGGGCAGAAAAGGAGTGGAGGGCAATTTCAGTATCACAGTCAAACTCTCATTCACATCAATACAGTTATCAGGGGGTGGAAGGTGTCCAAGAGTTTCGCAGCAACTACCCTGACTGCTTTAGCAATTCCAAGGCAACACAGAGCTAAAGCATACAAAGAGCATGTATCAGCTGTTGTGCACAAAGTCCTTTTCAACCAGGTATACCTACTTTGACATGAAACTATCATTCTCCATCCTGTTTTTACTGTAAGAGGGTTTTTATCAGCTTATTTGTATTCAGAGGTCAAATCTCATACTTGCGAAGTGCTGAGATTATTTACATGTGTACTACTCAGACTGATTAAAATACCCTGTCATATATACAAATATATCCTTGCACACAGCCTTTAGGAAAACCATAACCTCTTCGAAATGTACTTCTGCTTAGATGCCATGGTTATATTATAAATAATGGCTAAATTTTAAGTTCTTACATTGATGGAATGCCAGTAATAAATAGATCAAAGATTTCCCAATGCTAGTGTCCGTGAACACTAAACAATGGTATTTCCTATTCTGTAATGAGTGCCATGGTTCTGATCCATAAAGCCTGATTTTTTTTTTGCCTGCCTACAGGCACGCACAGGCTCACAGAGCAGATGTGAAGTCACAAGTCTCTAGTGTAATTCCTGCTCCAGTTCAGCAACTGTCAGGGTATGCTGAAGACAAGTCCGTGACTAACGCAGCCAAGAAATTCCTGAGAGAATAAGAATGATTGTTAACTGTTCTGAGAAACTCTTCCTCTGGGTTATTATCCCATAGAGGGAGAGACAGTGGGTCTTAGCCATCTTAACCAAACAAACAGCTCTGAGAAACTAAACATATTCCCTCTGAGATTACAGAAAATAAATAATAATTTAATAAAAAAAAAAAAAAACACATCAGCATCTTATGTTAAAAGCAGATTAGAAGCACACACGATACTGTCAGTGAAGCACTTGGACTTCTTCCTGCTTTATGCATCAGATCAGAGTTTCCATACTCCCAAAGGAAACGAAGCATCAGCTGAATAAAAGAGAAAGTCCCATTTATCCTACAATTATCTTTTCATAGCTGGTTTGATTGAACAGGAGCGAGGCATGGGCACATGCAGCAACTTTTACAGCCACCAGAAACCAATGCAGTGGCAACCCAGATGGGCAGCTGTTTTAATGTTTTAAGTCTGGGACACTCTGCTCGTAAAAGCCAAAGGAACCTAAAGGGATGTTGCCTGAGATCTGTGTGGTGTTGTCCAACTCTTTGAGCTAGCTGACAAATGAAAGATGTGATTTAGTCCCAGGGCACTACAAGGCAGAAATAAAGCAAGTAACTACGTGACTAATGGCGTAAGATCATTTTGAGATTTCACAAGTGTCAGCCTCCAAACACCACCTCCTTCCATAGCCATCTTGACATAGGGTAAACACGCAACGTAACAGTTTCTTACATATATATTAAGTAATTTCCTCAGCTGCCTCTCGTGCATTTTAAGCTGTATCCAAGCAAATAAAACTAAGAAGCAAAGCTACAACTCAACTGTTGGTACTCCCACAGATTTCTCAGCTCCGTCTTCTGTGCTCCTTTTCTCTCTGGAAAAAAACAAACCTGCCTGTAAAAGTATTTCTCAGTCTCTACCGTCTAAGTTTTCCATGTTGGTTCTTATATGCCAGGACAGTGATTAGCACTATCCAACACTGGTTGCAGGCTGCAGCTCGTTGTTGGTGCGTTACTGTGGCTCTGTTTGCTGGTACATAGCATCGGAGCATCCCTTAAGAGAACATTTGATAGCATCACTCTTCTGAATTGTCATGCAGTGCAGATGGTCGCAGAATGTAGGCAAGTGGGAGCCAGAGCAGGAGGAGGAGTACATCCTGCTTCAATTTCTCCTCTAGTACTAATCTTGATGCATTTGGATTAGGCTTTTGGTTAGGATGTCTACAGCTCCGGTTGGATGCACCCAAAGATCCAACAAGGGAAATGCAATGGAGCAGCTGCACTCGGCAGCATTACAACCACAAAGTGACCAGATTTGCCCATAAAAACCCAGTAAATGGGTCTGTTATGAAAAGATCGACATGAAATCTATATACTTCAGCTCATTAACTGTTATTACAGCGTACAAACCTGCAAACAAAGAGGAAACGACTTCTTCCATTTGGCATATATGATTTTATTTCTAGATTAGCTTGTGAGAGTTACAGTGTTAGAATGTTGAAAGCTTGAACATGTGTACCCTGCCAGACAACATCATTGGCATACTGGAACAACACCGTGAATAAAACAAAGGAAGACAACAGAACTGTTTATCTCCATACAAATACAGACTTCTCAGGAATGTAATTGTTATTCTCCCGTGTTACAGACAGGAGGGCTTCCAAATGGTGAAATGGCAAGACTTCAGCTGGGAATTTGATATGCTAAAGAGCTTTAAACTTTAGCCGTCATTAGTCCAGATAAGAAAAATCTAAACACACTGTGAAAAATGGTATACAAACTGGCAGATCCGAGGAAGGAAGGAGGACTGTTACATTTCCAGGGAGACACCTTGACAATATAAAGAAATGACTACATCTGCAACTGTAATCAGACTTATTTAAAGTCAGGTTAACGTAGATGTTATGCTCTGGAGGAAGTTACTTAAACAGAAAACAGTAACTCACAGTGAAATATTACTTTTACTGACTGCACATTTATTTGTGTGTAGACTCACTGAGAACAAAGTACTTAAGTACAGACTGAATCAGACTGAAATTTTCCACCTTTGACTATATGAGAGATTAATTTTTACCACCAACACGATACTTGGTACCATAACTGACAACACATCATGATGTTACCTGGACTACTTGCTAGCTATTTACTTCACTGATAGAGAAGACCCTTTATACCACAGAAGCATCGCCAAAATTACTCCATATAATGCTCACACTCCTGGTATAATTGGTGTAGAAGCCCTTCTACAGGCAGGATTTTCATAATCAAAACAACTCACAATTGGGCAACAGAAACAGACATTAAGAGAGCTACAAGGATATCAGTGAGAACAGAAATTACTCATATACGTCCCCACTTCCCCATGGAAAATCACTATGTACAAAGTAAAAATATAAGCTTTCTCACACCCAAACTGGCCTGTGAACGTGTAATCACAAATGTTGCATGTGGGAACAGACATCTGTGTTCCATCTTCATTTGTCATTTTGGTGTATATTTCTGGGAAAACTGGAAGATAATTTTCAAAATTTGTCTTCCCAAAATAGAGAAGAATAGATTTGGAGTTCTCACAGATACAGCTATGCTTACTGGCTGTCCTTCTCAGTGGGCTCACAACAAATTTCTTTGTGTATGTCCACAGAATGATTTGAAATTACTCAAATTACCTGAAGAACATGAAGTCTCTAGTTCAATTTCCAGATCTGACTGTTCACATTTCTTTCAAATAAAACTGCATTTTATGTGGCTGTTGATATCCTATTAATTTTCAGAGCAGCAGGTGTCTGCAGGGGGAAGACTTCATTTCTTAAGCGTAACCTTCCGTACTTTAAAAAAATGTCCTAAAGAAAGCGAAACAGATGCTGTTAGCTGTAGTGCAGCTTTTGTCTTTCTGTCAAGCACAATTTTATTTAACTAGGTCTCAGTTGGACAATTTTGATTTGTACTGTTAGTAACAATCGAGAAGACCGCAAATACCACATGCAAATAAAATATCTTACCCTGGTTTTCTAGAGATCTATGACTCTACTTACAGCTATTAAAGTACAGAGAAAACATACATAGTAAACTGAGTTTGTAAAGCAAGGATAATTTTAGGATGAACCCCAAATTTAGTGACAAATCAGCGTAGGTAAGCTTCAGTGAAAACCAGAGTTGTGAACACTTGTTCAGAAGCACACTGTTGTACGATACAAAAGGAAACTTGTTCTTTGGACAAGCCTTAACGATGAAGTAATTATTTATTTATGAATCCTCAAAGCCACAGCAGTGGTCCACAGATAAGAAAAAAGTACTAGATTAATCCTAAATGCTTAGGCAGGGCCTATTCATTTCATTTCATAGTCTTGCAGGTGATAAACCAATCCTGTAGAGGACCTCCAAGGGATATTACAAATACATTTTTTTTTTAATTTTTATTTTTTTTATTTTTTATTTTTTTAAATAGGACAGGCATGGCAAAAGCCCAAAGAACACTCCAGCATGCCAGGAACAAAAGCAGAGTGTGGCATGCAATTGATAGGCAGGCACATGCTGGAAAAACAATACAGCCTCAAAATGGACAATCATGTTAACCCAGGGCTGGCTATTCACCATGAGGGGACACTGCAGTGCCTACAGCTGCAGGAGATACCCTTGTCTGTACACGGGTGCACTGCCTTCAAAAACCTTTTTGTGTGTGTTCGGACTGACTGTTGAGGAGGGATTAGTAGGGCTAAATATACAAGATATAATAACAAAAAATAATAATAACAGTTATTTTCTGACTCGTTAGCTTAAACAATTTTACAGCAGTCTTCAGTCAGTATTAGCCAGTAAAACTGTGTACTGGGTTACAGCAATTCATAATGGGTATTCTACACAGAACAAGATTCAGGGTTAACAGTAACTAGAAAACTTTTCCTCTACCATTTTACTTCGTAGTAAGGATATCTTGAAATCTTTTCTTTCAATCAATCTAGGAAACATCTGTCTTGCTTTTGAAGCTTTATTCAAAGTAAGGACAAGGGGTATCAACTTGATACCTATATCAGACTACATCATGGTGTCTTGTTTCATACCTATGCAGATTATCTTTAAAAATAAAGACTCCGTGAATGTCGCCAATTGCCAAGACAGACAAGTCGCTTAGCCCTTTTGAAAATTTTACACTTAGGTTGATTTAGTCAAGGATAGTAACTGCAATCTAATTTAAAATGCCCACCCCACCAAAAAAAAAAGGAGATGAACAAAAACCCAACAATCAAACACCACCACCAACAAAAAAAATCCCATCACAGAATTAAATGTTTGGGTTTGATGAAGAATACTTATGGGCATTTTTGTCTTCCTATTATGATTCATGGGATCATAGTAAACTATCCAGACTCAGGATAACCAATTTCTCCAATAATAATAATAATAATAATAATAATTTGAGATTCACCATTTTAAGAACTCTGGGAACCACTGCTGTAATGCGTGACAGCTACTTATGATTAACTAATTAGCAACCATGTGATGAAGAAGGTCATGTAGTCCATAGGAAATAAATACTTAAGGCATTATCTGTCCAATAAAAAGCAAACTGTATGAACTGCTGTTCCTAGCCTTTTGATCACCAGACAAAGAAAGCTTATGCACTTACATTTCATCGTCATATTCCTTCGGAGGTGACACTGCAATGACTAAGTCAATCCAATCCTGCAACAAAAAAGCACAAGCACATGTGTGCTGCTAAATGTTCCTTTTAGAGGTGGTTAACGGACCACTATGGAATATCAGATAGATAACCAGAAAAGCAATCTGTTCCTGGAAAACCAAAAGGAACACGTCTCTATAAAATATTTGTATAGGAATACAGTTTCAAGACCGAGCTGTTTGATTTCTATCCTGAAATTAAAGAAAAATCTACCTGATCTTGCAATAAGCTTTGAAAAAACAGCCATTCTAAGTAGCATACTGCATTTGGTCGTCATAGTAGTTAATACAGTTCTTGCTGAGAAGACACTCACTCTAGCTGAAGTGCAGCATCATTTGTACACTAAGAAATCAAAGATTAGATAAGCTATTATCAAAGTTCCTATCAGCTTCCAAGTCAGCTTCAGTATTAGAGATTCTACAGATATATGTACTATCCACACTCAGACTGCAATGTGTTTAAATACTAATCTTGACATGTGGCTAAATGCCATGAACTTGCAGAGTCAATTACAGCTGTGATTTTCAGAGTTGCTGTATACCATCATCCTCTGCAGATTTCAACTCACTTGGGTGGCATGGCACACCTGTACTTTTGACATTTCCAACCTTTTTCCTATTCATGCGACAATGTCACGAAAGACAAGAGAACATGATGAAAGTTATAGGTAGAATGAAATAGTCTAAGTGTACTTACCCCACCCATGTTCCAAGCTTTTGCTAGAGTTGCTTGTGCTTCTGCCAGCCTGCTGTCAATTAATATCTTGCCATTTACAGCCAGTATTTCATCTCCTTTCACTATGCCTCCTGGTGGCAGACCAAAACAGTATACATACATGTAAGCAAAATAAGTTCTGTGACAGATTTCTCTGATGCAGTACTGAGTATAATGAAAAATGTAGTGTCTTAACTAATGTGAAGGCTTACACTGAAATTTGACATAGACAAGAAGGTTTGCTACAGGCAAAGGCAAAAGGGATTTTTAGGTAGGCATGGACGAGTCACTCTAATCTCTTACTGATTACTGAGCTGTAAGAACCTAGTTCAATGAGATTTTCTGTAGTAGCAGTTTGCCAGTCCATGTAGTCCACCTATATTCCTTAGTAAACTGTGGTTAATTGTAGTCTGTTACCACAATGAAAATGGCAGTGTAATTTAAATACCTGAATGTCTAAGTGGTATTTGTCAAGGGTTTGCAGGACTGTCATTCCTTTTCAAAAGCATGTTTAGTTTTCAGAACTGGTTTTGATTTGCTAATCTGGAATGAAGGACAATCAGGTAACTGGAACTGGATTTGGGGAGGAGACAACACATATGATAAGGGGACAGCCCACAACAGTCACAAGTCAAAGAGAAACCGAGCACTTGGAATAACAAATTGTGACTAAGATGTTTTCAAGGCAAGAATGACTTCAACTTAGCTGTGGTTGGGACAAAGTCAAAGAAGACCTAAGATACTGTCCTGTCCATCTACCTGGTCATCACCAGGGTTCTCAAGGTAAGGATGGGAGACTGGCTCCCAGGAGCAAAGCCTGGATGTGCTGGCATATTCTTGTGGCTTCTAGATTAAGCTGTAAACCAGAATGCTTTGGCCTTTAGTTAGATTCTGTGAGTAAAGCCAGATGTTTTACAAAACAAATTGCTATTGAAAGTAGCATTAAGAACAAAGCTAAGCTTATGTTCTAGTAATTGCTTTGCACATGGAAGTCCTCCAAATGTAATTGTTTTAGAAGTGAGAAATAATGGAGGCCAGATTTAGGTTTCCTGACTTAACAAAATCAGCATTTTTTGATATCTGACTGAAAAAGGGCCTTAAACAGCTCTACATTTTTGGGTCATATTACTGAAACTTTGGCTATGATGAAAATACAGCAAGGTTGACTATTTCTTCTTAAACATTATTAATAATTATGTAAATTTTATAAATGTAAGCAGCGGTCTTCAAACCATGAGCCTCTCTTTGAGCTGAGACAGAACTTGGCTGCCTCGGGCAGTCTATCTGTGCTTCTCAGTACCAGCAGCAACTGCAAAGTCAGCCAAGAACTCAGCCAGTGGAAGATGCCATTTTGCAGCAGCATTCAAGTTCTCCATCGTTACTCACCATGCTTGTCTGCAGCACCACCCTCATAGATTGCAGAGACTACTATCTTTCCAATCGGAGAATCAATTCCTCCCTCAACTGCAAGGTCTAATGATCCTTCCTATTAAAAAAGAGTTTCATTTCAGAAAAGGTTGGTAATTCTTGCCATCAACAGGAACTTAATCTTTCATTTTTCCCACTAGATGTATCCACACGTGACATGATTACATCAACCCTTTAAATATAAATAGATAATAGAGTACTTACCTTTTTAATGCGTAATAGCCGTACATCTTTTCCCATAATCTGCTCTGGGGTAAACTACGAAAAGATATCATGGTTATTCATTTCCATTTTGGTAACATAAAACAATTAACCTCATCTATGTAGATTGCAGGTGAAAAGGGACCTTCCCTTCTTCCAAAATAGTGTTAGAGGAAGAGCTGAACACCAGTTCATCCTTTCATGTAAGGAAGCTCCCTTTCAACAGGGCTAGAAGAAACAAATGGTCAGGTCCCAGCAAAACAAGAAGCAAGAATGTTACCCGCCTCCCAGCCCTCAAAATCAAGAACGTGTTTATTTTTCCTAGTGTATTTTATATTAAACTGAGACATATCATAATTCTTTCCTTACCATTGAATATGGATCAAAGTCTTCCACATACTTCTGGAAGCCCTGAGAATAAAACAATACTCAGTTGTAGAAACATTAGGCTCATGCACATGCTTAACATAAAAGCTTAATTTTAGTTATTAGTGAGAAAACATAATTCTGTAAGCTAGGAAAGAAGACTATAAAGGGAGAAAAACACAGAAAGGTAGCAGAGAGTCCATCCTGACAGTCAGAAGACATTTTAAGACCTTACAATAAATCAGCAGTTTGACCTGGCCATACTATGGAGCAATTTTGAGGAACAGTTTACTACACTACCAGTTCAGCAGTTCCTCTCCACACCTGACAGAAAAGGCCAAATCTACCACAGGCAGGTATGTTCTGCCATGCTCTTCTGAGCAACCTTTCTTGGGACTACCACCAACACTGCTCCATGGTGTCTAGTTTGTAGGACCAGACTCTTTAGAAACCCTTCTCACCTTCTGTCTGTGGAATTTCAGGAAGTTGACTCCATACCACAAGCAAAGGACAAAAAACGATTTCATTTTCATGTGGTTCTATTGGGAACTGAGAATCTACACCTTATTGAGCATTTAAATAAGGTTTGCTTGTATTGCATTTGTTAACTGCTAACTTTGAGGTACTAAATAAATGGGAATCTCATCTACCTTCAGTAAAGGTAGAATTCCGTCTTGGGGGAAAAAACAATCATTTATGCATTTAGGAAGTATATCAGTCTTATGAGCACTGTCACTATAACTGCAAGAGAAACATTTTACAGTAAAGAATACTCTGAACTACTAATAGTTTGAATACATGAATTTGTATTGATCTCTGGAATGATGGCTAAAGTAGACATAAACGGTCTCAGAGCAAACAACTTAGTGAAAAGAACTGTAATCTCAGCCAAGTCACTAATTCATTATGTAATCTAAAAAGCAAGTCATTGAACTCTTTGTCCCAGGTCACCCTCATGAAAAACAGATGTTGCCCTTGAAGAAAATTTTCCTGGGAAAACCAATTTTCAAACAGGAAAAAAACAAAAACCCCACCAAAAAAAAAAAAAAAAAAAAACTGCAAAGAAATGATTTTATCTGAATCCAGTAAGTGTACAAACACAGCCATAATAAAATGAACACATCCTCTGAATGGCAGCAAATCTTCCCAGAACAGAAAGGAGCATCAGAAATTCACAGAGGAGAGAGCGTGCACCAAGCAGCAGCTAATGAACCAAGCAACACGGAATGGAAAGCATGGGGCTAATCTAACCTTCCACTGCTCAGCATATCTCAGGGAAATAGTACAGAACATTCTTGATTTACAGTAATATTGAAAAGGACTGCACATTAGTAGAATATGGAACATTAAACATTTGACTACAGTGAAACAACTAGCTGTCCATACTTCTAGAGGGAAGCTGGAGCTAATATTTGGGGTGGGAAACAAAACAAAAAGAAAATAAAACACCTAAGCCAATGGCACAGCTTACTGTAGTTTCTAGCATCAGTCAATAACAAATGTGACCTTATCAAAATAAATAGAAATGAAGAATTAAAACATATTAATATTCAGTTTCAATTGAACAGTCACCAAGTTTGATTTGCTATCTGAGTCAAATCCAGTTTTTTCCCTTCTGACACAAGCCTCCAGCTTATGCAGGCTGAAGTACTTGAATCCTCAACAGTGGATCTGTTCATAGAAATTCACCTTCTCAGATGGAGCCCTGCACACTTGAAGGATCCTATTGAAGTAAGACAGCACATATCTGTTCGTCTTTCTGTGGACTAATGGAAGTTTTAAATATTTGACATTTTGCCAACATTCATGTATTGATTTGACTACACCTACAAAACAGGCCTAATTCATGATTTTCAGTAGGATACATTATGGTTAACCTTGAAGTTGTCAAAAATCATCCTATATTTTCCTTCTTATGTATAACGATTTCACTTGTCTAGAAAAGATGTCTACAAAATGATTTTATTATTTGACTAATGTTAAATATCAAGAAAAACTCAAACTGAACAGCAAGAGAAGAAAAAAATCATTATTAATCTTCATGTTTTACCACTGTGAGCTCACAACCGTACCCCAACATTTTCATGTAACATGACAACACGTCTAGGTTAGCTTGCTTTCACAAAAGAGCTGGCACATTTAACAGCAACAGAGAAATCAGGCACATTGTTCACTTCAAGGGACAATCTCTTAAACCACAGACCAGTCAACCAAAGAGGGAGAGACGAAAGCACACCACAACGTCCATTTAAACTTGCATAGAGGAAAGCTATAGAAGTAGCAATATGGTAGAAAAACCCTACACAACATGAGGAAAGGCTACGTGCATAGGTACTTTCCACCATCAGTTCCTCCGATTTCCTACCAATTACTGTTATGATAATAGATTTATTTGTTAAGCTAAAACTATTATATTACAGAAAACATTGAAACTGTAAGCTAACAAACAAAAAACCTTAGGAATATTGAAAAAACTGCCCAGTCTCAGATCAGTTACCAATATACAACGATCTTAAATATTGCACTAATCACATAAGTAGCTTCAAGATGGTTCAATGTGGAGGACTCACTATCCTCTCATTATTCATCTTCCTAGGCTAGCAGGCGCCACATGCACACACCGAAAGTTTACCAAAACTAGCAGTTTTCATGCACTAGGGCTGTTTTATATCCTCTGTTTTAGAAATTCAGCAACAGGATTAGGAAGAAAACCTACACTCAGTGAGAACACGAGTACCACACAAAACACTGGAAAACATTATTTTACTTGTTTTTTGTTAGATCTAAATGATGAATTGTAAACCACCATCCTTTTAAACATCTCTTGTGGCTGCAAAAGAAAGAAAATTGCCAAACCAAATATTAAGTTCTTGTTGTAAACAAATAACGCCTAATCGTAAATAATCTTGCTGCTTTTCTTTTCTCGTTTCAGGACTAAATCACACTTGCCTTTTTTAGTACTTCTTCCCTACACCATTTCAAAATGAGAGAACACACATAGTGAAATGATAACAAACACAAAGAGGAAAGAATTAGAGAGGAACTACATAAGTAATTCACATTTCCATACCACAAGATTTCTTAAAGATAATTTCCATGACTCATTTTATCCCTAATTTCTAGAGAATTGTACCTTGACTTCTGCTGCATGATTCTGAAAAATTAATTGAAAAAAATATGGACAAAATGCTAGACCAATGATTTTCAAACTATCAAAACCTCATGACATATGTACACTATAACAATATTTTTTTTCTCCTATTAGTAGATTTCCTATACTGAAGAGTGAATTATAATACACTAAGATCCTTATGAAGTTGATGAGCCAAAAGATTATGTGCATTTGGGTTTATTCTGAAACAAGCAATTACTTAAATATCAATTACAGGAACAGGTTCATTCTACTAAAAACTATCCCACTGAATTTATTTGACTAATTTATTTATGAGTGGTCTTACTTCAATTTCTTTCAATTTGGACGGCTACAAGAAAGTTCAGTATATCAATTATTGCTGCAATTTACTTTCTTTTTTTTTTTTTTATTTATTGTATTGGGCTTTAGTAATTTTAATCCCATATCAAGTTTTTTTTTTTTTTTGGTTTATTCATAAAATGGTTGTATTATAGTTTGCGATCACTTGAAATATAGAACCTCATGTTACAAAGATTTTTAAAAATAAAATAAGCTAGAAAACCAAAAAGAAACAAAACAGAGCACTCTGTCCTCCTCTCAAAACACTGCATTGAATCTAATAACTTATTTAAGTCTTCTGCTACAAGAATGTCTTCTTACAGACTGAACTATGGTGTTTACATTTCCAAACTCAACTCCCTTTAAAACAAATAACTATCCATCATTTTCATTCATGATTCTATCAGTGGCATGTATCCATAACCATTACTTGGAAAAACATGCATACTCCTGAATTAATACCAAATGTGTGGTCTGCGTGTACTTAACAACTGAGCTAGGAATCAAGTTTTTATCTTGAAGGATGTTTGGGCAAGTCTGGCAAGATCTCCAACAACACTGTTCAGCCCATCTCCACCCACTCAGAAAAAAATGATTCCCTTTTCAGCACAGATGGTATAACTATTGGCAGTAACTGAAATTTCTGATCACCACATTTTACTGCATAGTATTTAAGAATCTGTCTCATGTTCCTTGACTGCAGTCCTGCATAATCAAATTTCACATCTTGCAAGAAAAGTTTAAATATTCATTGTTCCTTTCAGAAATGCTGTATCCAACCACAAAGGAGGAGAGGAGGGAAATTTTAGCAGCAGCAGTTGCATCAAAGCCTTCTAATTCACACAGCAGGGCATTTGCAATAGTTGGGAGAGCAGAGATTAGTATTCGTGTTGGTTTTGCCTCTCTGAAAACCCCATCACTAAATCATTGTGATCCTCTCCTGTTCTCTGAACCAAAACTTAGTTAGCTTTGCCATTCATGCCAGACAACATCAATGAAAGTCTTACTCCACATACTGCTGTGGCTTCCTCTGCATCCAGAATGAATAACCTTTACAGCATTAAGTCATAAATGGAGTTAAGAGGTAACAAGTCTGCAAAAAAAACAATTTAAAGACTGACGTTTCTCTCAATCCTATCAGAATATTCGTCCCAGTGAAATTTGTAATCTTCCAGCTGACATAAGGCAGGTGAGGTACCAAGATGACCAAGATGATTGATATCTGAAATGTTTTAGCAGTCTTGTGGTTTGGAAAATGTGCATGCATAACATATCAAAAGAAATTTCCCTGTGGAGATGAATCTTATTGCTAGTCTTTCAAACTAATTGTAAGCAGTGACAATAAATAGCAACAATTTCAATTTGTACCAAGACTACCTGATAACAAACACAAACATCTCACCAAATTTTTCCATACTATTCAATACCTGTGTATCAGATATTTATTTTCCAAAGTTTGGTTATATTAACTGTCGACTATGATTTTTACTCTTTTTATTCCTCTTCTAAGAAATTCCATATTGCAGAGATAACAAATTACTCATTACAATCAAAATGAGAGTTCCATGTACACAACTGAAGGAAAGAGTAAGTCATGTTTACACTTAAGAGTAATGCTATAACTAACAGACCAGTTATTAGTTATCTTAGATGAATTTTCAGGCTGTTGTTTGGGAGTTATCACCTGCCAGAACAGTATTTCCTTCTTTTCAGGAAGCCACAGCTCACCTTCCCTCATAAAAAAAATTATTGAAAATCATATATGGTTGGTCTAAGAATATTTAGCCTAACAGTTTCTTATTCACTTACATTTGAAACAGATATGGGAAAAAAAAAAAAAGAAGACAAAGAATCTGAATGTAAGTCAACTTTGCAGTAACACCACATGATGAGTTTCTTCATATAACTTATATTACAAGTTTATTGATACTAATATAAGATATAATGATGTAAGTTTTCTCTCTGGAAAGAAAAGAATGAGATTCACAGATACATTTCAAGTACATTCATGGCTATTTACATAGGAAAAATTCAACATCATAAACTTTTTACTATTTCATTTCTGACAAATGAATCCATGATTTATAAAAATGCAAATCAGCTCACAAATGAAAAAATAAAATGTGCAGACTCTCCTAGGGAGAGTAAGGCTCTACACTGCTCTAGAGTTAGGCACCCCAGAACAAAGACTCACTTAGATTGACTTTTGTATCATGAAAAGAATGAAAGACACTGTTTTGTACTTACCATTAGTGATCACTTGAAAACCTAAATGAATGTCAGCTAGCAGAAAATGAGACAAGCATGGCTTCTTTCAGAAGTCAACAAATCCCACAGTACTGTAGCATTCAGAAAAACAAAACCACACACTAAAAGGCTTACCAGGGCCTCAGATTTGATTGTTGGCCTGACCATAAAGTTTGGGTCAGGATGCAGCATGACTGGTTTAGAGACTATTGGTACCCCTGGATGTCGTTGGGTAGGTGGACTTGGAGCAAGTTGCTATAGGGGTTAATTTAAGAAAATTACAATTCACATCTTAATTTGTGCAAAACCAACATTTCACCAAGATGCTCCAATATAAATAATTTATGGCAATGAATTCAATGGTATTAAAACAACAAAAGACTTACAGAAATATTTTAACTAAGAGACTTACAAAGTTAGCAAATGAAAACACAATTTCTCTTGCATCCAAACAGTAGCCTTTTCCCCTTAAACTCTGGCTTCACCAGCAAGATTATGGAAAATTCTCATCCCTGCTTTTGGCATTTATCCCAGTAAAGGCAATGAACTAAATGAGAAACTGCAGAAAAATGCTAAAACTGAGAGAAAGAAGAGAGTGAACCTGAAATGAAACTGTAACCAGTGTCTAAATGGATTTCTTTAATGTGAAATTCACCAGGACTGTAGTGATCAGTTTTCCGCATATGTAACTTCAAGATAACTTGCTTGGAGTTAAGAACAAGGGCTAGCTATGCTAATTACTTCCTCTCAACTCTGCAAAGTACAGTTATCCAGAGCCATTTGAGACCTCACCATGCATCACGTACTAGCCATGAGTCTGATTCCATACTTCTTACTCAGTCAAAACTCTCACTGACGTCAAGCATAGTTGTATTCAAATAAAGAGTTCAAAACTGAACCCTGTGGGTTTAGTTTCTGACTTAACCCCAGCAACTCTCAGCACACTCCTGTCAATGTTTCTCATAGGAAATGTGATCTGTTCCAGATATCATTCATATAGTACAAGCTGTATCTTCTGAAAGTATTTGAATCACTTCCAGTAAATTGGTTAAGCCACTTTTTAAACAGGGGAATGTGTGGGGTTGGGTTTTTTGTTGTTGTTTTGTTTGTGTATGTGTGTTTTGTTTGTTTCAACAAATTGAAGAAAAAAAGTTTTGGAACCAGGTCTTTGGAAGTCCCTGTGGACATCCCTCAATTAACGTTCTCCCTGCACAAAATACATTGTTAAACTTTTTGATCTCGGAAGAACGGGAAGGTTCACAGATATCAACTTTGTTCAAGTCACACTGGGACTGGATGCTTTCTCCTGCAGTCACACAATTTAGAGAGAGACTTATAGAGTGCCTCAGAATGAGGAAAACTGACATCTGGCAATCCTGAGTGAAAGTCACTGCAAACAGTTATCAAGCAAATGATTCTTCTTCTCAGAAAAAAAAAAAAGCCTGCTTTGTAGCACCTAGAATAAAGGTCAGTCTAACTCCCTTTGTATGTCTTGACAGAAGAAGGCTTACATGTTTATGCTCTCAAACATACGGACTTAGCATGCAACATGCAAACTTTGACTGCATATGGCCGAAGGGTTGAAATATGAAGTTTTCAGACCATTATGAGTTGCTTCCACTACCTGGTATTAGGTATCTTACAAAACAGCAGTAGATCCACTTATATGAACGCAAGTACTGAATTTGAAATAAATTAGCCATGCAGAGCAAGAACCTTGACATTTCCTTTACATTAGCATTACATGGGAAGTTCATAAAACTACATTCATAATTAACAGTAAGTGACATACCAGAGGACTGCTTGACACAGAAGATGCTTTGCCAACATGGGAGGTGTTTCTTACAACCTAAACAGTAGCAGACTTAGAACTGGATTCAGATACAACATATAGCTGCCAATAATTTTGAGAAACAGATCGGTTTACACCAGATATTTTAATAGCTAGTTGTCAGGAACATACTTTACAAGAAATTTTATTCCTTTTGTCAGGTATCTCTTAAGGAGTTGAATTTGAAATAAAATGATCTAGGGAGAAAAAAAAGTTAGCACCATAAAGATTTACAATTTTGAGTAATATTAGAAAAGTATCTTTGTGGAACGACAACAAGAAGTCTTAAATGTTCACTTTGGCAGGCATAAATACAAGATTCTTTTATTGCTGAAGTCAAATAAACTGTTTCTGTGCTGTCAAAAAGCAGCAAGTAGAAATCGTCTACCTGATTTTACTACTACATCTGATACTTGCTTATAAACAAAGCAGCTCTGGCTCAGTATTAATACTTTATTAAGAACTTCTTTCCTCATACACACTGCTAGTTATATTTAGTGAAAACTAGCTTATCATTATTGAAGTCTATTTTTTTTTTTAATTATTTTATATTTGTATTACTTATTCTCCAATTATCTACCTTTAAAACAGTTGGCAATGAAAAACATTCAGAAACGTATTGGAATATAGGCTTGAGGTCAGATCCAGTATGGCAGTTCCTATACTACTTCTACAAATGTTAGCATTTTCTGTTAGCATTAAGAGAACATTTCTCCTCTGAATACTAGTGTTTTCTACACTTTTGTGTGGAATCACAGACATTTATTTTTATTTTTAAACCAACTACGAAAACCTGTTATCTTTAAGACCACCTGACATCTCCATTTCAACAGAGCTAGCATATTATTGGTACTTCAGACACATAAACCACATAAGATGAAACACTATCAGAGGTCTACTTAAGTTTATAAGGAAAGATAAACAGTTCATGTCATGGCAATTATTCACAAAAATAATCTGCCAGCTTCCCCTAAAAAGTGAATAGTTTGAATATATTTTCCCACCACAAACAAAATCATGCAAAAGACACGTCTAGTATTTCCAAGTAAACATGCAAAAAAAAAATTTTTTTTTTTTTTTTTAAATCCAAGCCAGTCAATCAACCCATGCAGAAAAACATGCAGGAAAGAAGTTGCCATATGCAACTATCTTCTGCTGTTTGAAACAAACATAAGAATCTTTGATACACAAACTGGAGTATATGGATCCCATTACAGTGCTCAGCAAAGGGAAGTATGAAGCAGCAGCTGCCATTTCTCTCCTAAAACAAGATCTGGCACTAGATTTCTTATATTTGATTCTCTTTTGGACTGAGACTGTAATACAGAGAAAGGTGTTTTTTCAAAGAAATCCAAAACTTTTGTGTCAATAAAAACTCAGCAAACCTGAATTGCAGATTAGTAACACTAGTTCAATTAAAAGTATTGTCCTGATATATTGTGTTTAGGTTTTAAAAGTTTGTGCTTGCGATTTCCACCTAATTTCCTTGGTCCAATCTTTTCACCCAGCAAAGCTATTTGATAACATTTAAAACACTTTCACAATAGCAGTTTTTCACCACAAAGATAATTTTCTCAAATTTAAGTATGAGTCAGATTTCAATACATTCTGCCAAAGATACTTGCATGTGGTGGGGTTGCAACGCATGCAGGGAGGACAGAGCCAACCCCTCTGGACTTGAATTAGAAGTATTAATAAAACTGCCTCTGAAGTGCATTCAGTAAGTAGGAAATAAGGAAATCCTCCTTTTAATATCGTGTACGGCAGATGGGTAGATCCAGTTGACCAAGTGAGTGATGGAGCAGGGAAGGGATGCCAGGCAGGGGAAGGGTAGAGGCACATGCATCCAAACACAGTGAGGTCACCTGGGGAGCTGGTGGTACTGCCAGCACCGGACCTCTTGGAAGTGGAACACTGGATGTGGGAAGTGGATGACCTGGTGATACTGGAGTAACAGCTGGTGGGGGTGGAGGTGCTGCCACTTGTTTGTCAACTTCATCTAAGTTTATGTCATCAAGATCTGTGGTATGAAGCTGCAGCCCCCCGGCAAACCGCCGCATTGATGTGGCAGAGGGAGATGCCGAAGGACGTCCACTTGCCAACTGCTCTCAAGAGAACAGAAATCTGCCTTAACAGTTTATCTGCCTGCAATAGCTCTGAAGAAATTAACAGCAAATCCTAGAACACCACTCAACCCAACTGCTCCTGCACCAAAAGCTCTTGCCTTCTTGCACACAGAATATATTTAAAAGTTTTCCTATGAAAGGAGAGGAAAGGGGATCAGTCTGCAGTAATCATAACCTGATCTTAAGAGGAGAGGGGGAAGTAAATTTAAGAGGGGGAAGTAAATTTAAGCAGTTACCAAATACAGTTTTGGGTGCTATGGAGTTCAGATTGTCAGGAGGGTCTGAACCTTATGATTTCTGTTAACACCAGACTCAGAGTGAGGCTAGCAAACTCCACAGTTTGAGCAGAACAAGTAGCTCACCCTCAAAAAAAATTAGGAGAAAGTGTCTGCAGGGCTAAGGAAGGGTTGTACAGATTAGAGTTGTACATATTAGAGTTGCTAACATTTGTTTTTAGATGCCTATCAGTGATCAGACTTAGGTATTTAATAAAATCCGATTGACAGTCTCTCATTTGCTATTGTGTAGACTCAGCTTGGGAAATATTGAAGATGAGCTGTTCTACAGATACACGCATCTTAGTTTCATCTGACAATGCTTCCCCTGAGTGGATCTCTCTGCTGACATTGAGATGTCATCTGTCATACTCACCCTTTAGTATTAAAAAGCATACACATTTCTTTGGGAAAGCTCAACAGATCTGGAGTGCTGTTGCACCCAAGATGCAGATCAGGCCCAAAGGTAGTCTAGTCACATTTACCCCTCAGAAGCACTCCATCTGTATGTTTTACTTCATGTTTAACTGCTTGGATAGTTTTGTAGCAGAATTGTAATTGAAAAATATGTAATATAAAGAAGAATTGATGGAGCAAATACAGTGTTTGTCTCAAATCAAGGTAGAGCTCTGACCAATGACTTTAATTTACAATATTATCTCTTCCTTCTCAAGAAGGACAAAGATCTGGTAGAACCCAGGCAGACAAAGTTAAGCAGTGAGAAAAAAAATCACCATTAACATTTCACTGTCCTGGTGACCTGCACTGAAGAACCAAATAGATCGAAGCCTAAGGCCAGGAAGAACACAGGACCATCTGCTTTTTCAGGGCTGCTCCCTATTGACCTGAAGGAAATTTATCCAAGAGTGTTCCCAAAAGGTCCCCTTTGTGGTTACAATTGCTTGGGGGTCATGGGGGAATTCAGCAGATTGCAGTGTTCCTCTTGGAAGCAACTGTGCTTGGAAGAAAGCCAATGCAGGACAGTGGGAAAGCCTCTCTCCACATGTAGAGTCACGCGGCTCTAAAGCACAATCACTATATTCCACTTCCTTCATTTGAGGGGACTATTTGAAATCACAAAATAAAAACAAAACAAACAAACAAACAAAAAACCTCATATTCTTTGGGACTTTTTTCCCCCCCTTATCACTCAATTAACCTGTCCCTTTACTAGTTATGATTGCATGCAATACAAGCAGGCATTCAAGAACTCATCATTAGTAATGTTCTTATTTGCATATAGCACTGAAAAAACACAGCTGGGAATTCTAGCTTGTTTGGTGGCACGTCCCACCAAGCCCAAACAGTGCTCACAAACTGATGAAGTTGTTAATTTTGTGGTGATAACATACTCAGATGGACAAACTAAAAACACCAGTATAGTGACCTTTATCAAATAACATCATCCCTGTAAACTATGGAAACATAATTGCTGACAAGTTGTTTTTTATTTTTCCCCTCCCTCTTAAAATGAGGGCTGAGGAGGAAAGAGGAAGACAGGTTTTGGCTCATTTCCTTCCAGTAAAAGCTGTTGTTTTTAAGAGAAAACTAGTGAGTTACTTTGAGATCACACAATATATAGAAAAGCCAACATTTTTTTTTATTATTATTATTATTATTATTTTTTTTTTTTACCTCAGGAGACTCATTCTCCACAGAGGAAATCTGTTCTAACCGTGTCTGACAAAGTCTTTCCACCCAATGCTGCACCTTTTCTGATTCTTCCAGGTCTTCTCGTTCTGTTTCAGATACCTTAACCACATCATCAGTTCACAAAAAGAGATTAGAGGTATAGTTACAATACAAATATTTCAAGAGTATGAGATGCTATTTAAATTATTTTAAGAATTAATTGTGCTTTTAAGAATGATTTCCTCTTATGCTGTCTTTTGTTAAGCTCATCACTACACACAGACACTCAATAAAAAGTTTCCTCACTCAGACAAAAACTGACGACAGCAACAAACATATCAAAAACTCTGTTCCCAAGAAATGCATTTTTTTCTACTCTTTATCATCTTTGACATAATTAAATGAATGTCCTACTCAGATACTTCCACTGAAGAGGCAGCTCATTTTCTTTCAATAGAATTTTTCACTTAATAGGAGAATACAACATACCTCCTGCACAAGACGATTTATTTTCAGTTGCTTTTCCTTCTCCAGCCTTCCTTCCTTTTCCTTGGCAAGTCTTTGCTCAAACTCCATTTCCTTTTTATTCTTCTTTTGTTCACAAAAACTGTCACTTTTTGACTTCTTTTGCTCTTTCCCTTTCTGGGAATTTTTTTTCTTAAATTAAATTTTTACGTAAACTAAAAACACAGCAAACTTCAAGCTCAGTACATGAGTGCCTGCCTTGAAAATTGAATTACACTGCAAGTATGGGGCCAGTCTTTTAGAAGCAAATCTTAACTCAATTTCCCCAGCAATTTGCTGGAATTTCAACCTTATTTGAGGGCTTGTACACAGTCATTTAAGTTATACAAGATCAGACAGTTCAACTTTTCCTCTGCAAAGCTACAACAGTAGGGCAGATAGATCCACTAAAAAACTTCAAATAGTCAAATAGTTTTGGTTAGATCTTCATTTATCATCTCTCCGTTCAGTCACTTTTACATGAATACAAGACTGACCGCTTTCATGTGACAGATGCTCATGTATACACAGATGTGACCGTTCTATGATTAAAAAATGCTTCATGCTTCATACATTCTAAACACAGCATTGCATGCCTTCATGCAAAAAATTAGATGGAAAGGAAAGGCTTTGATCAGTGGAGCAACTAAATTGCTCCCAGGAAAGAACCCTGTATCATGTAAACCAAACATAAAATCTACTCATGCACATATCTAATATAGCGCAACGCAACTCTAAAATTTTACATGTCTAATGCCAGCAAATGGCAAAACTTTTTCATAGTCTTTTAGGAGCATGTGTTCCTGTTGTTTCTGAAATATACCCTGCTCCTTATTTCTACTTCAGTGATGTCACATTTCAGCTACCCTCTCCAACTTGTACTATTAGGGCCTACTTCATGTTGAAAAGCCCATGTCCTCTTTGTTACACTGAAAAAAAATACAGAAGGGCAACAGGGCTGGCCGCCTATTGTCAATTCCTGCCAATGCCCAGAGAGGCTAAGATTCAGATTTGATCTTGCTCTGCTCATTTTCATTGGCTAATGGCTTTTCAAAAGGGTTTTTAGGAATTCAAATCATGACCGTGCTTTACCTTACATATCATTATTTGTCTTCCTCCCACCTTCTATGTGTAACATTTATAACAAAGCAAACATTTTTTCCTGGCAGCTACAAATGTCATCCTCTCAGTCAAGAAAGTAATTAGAGCTTTGTAGTACAGAGTTCAGGGATATGCTCTCTATTGCTTTGTGGTTAAATGTTCCTATTATTGAAAACCAATAATCTTTGGAGATAATTTTAGTTTTTTATCACACTTTCATCTTTTCACACTGATGTTTTAACCTGAGCATCATTCTGCTAGCATGTCTTATTCAGAGCTAATTGGTTTGTACTTTAGTAGTAATTTTTGATATCATTTTATCCTCTAAAGAGTTATAAGATACATTTAGGACTGTCTGTGAAACATAACACCCAGCAGGTCAACCTGCTAGGTATCAACATTTGAAAAATTACTGAATGTAAATGCTCACTAAGCAGTACATGTGCTAAAATGTTTCAGAACATCAATGTCTATGAGACAAATCTTAAGTGCATTACTGCATTCAGCTACTACAGGATGAGTCATCCTTTCCATCCATTTTCTCCATGGATTCTGTGCACTTCCCAAAGACATTTTAAGTAGAGAGTAAAATTTTGGTTTTCGTGGTTGCAGAGAAAAAAAATTGATTAGTAATTTGCAGTAGGATGAAAATTCACCTTTTCCATATTTCAAAATATTTCTAAAAGCAAAAGATTTATTTTTAATCTTTTCAAGTTTCTAGTCGATACAGTGTAGTATAGCTCAACAGAAACTGTGGTCGATATTCATTACTATATGAAAAGTTATTTGGAGGCTCTGTAAACTATGTTTGCCAGCAGCCATTGAGAAGATCACCTATTTGTGTGAAGAGGCTGAAATTTCTTAATATTTTTCAGATATAATTCCTAAGTGTACTGAATTTTACACGTTACAGATCCAGGATGATTTACATTCACTAGCAGCACAAAATGGCATCAGAGTACACTGACATTTCCTATGCTCTATTAAGGTCAAAATAATAAATAATAATAAAAAAGTCTATAAAATGCACTGAAAGAAATAAAGAGAATAAAGCAACAGCAGGAATAAAGTATTATTTGGAGCTGAAGTAATGTGAAATCACAATGTTTTAGAGGCAACTCTTTAGATGAGAGGTATTCGATCGAGCTTAAAGCTTTTCTGTTGTTTTTGCTCACTGTCTGTGATGCACATGCCTGAAAGTCTTTTGCCTTCAGCCCTCCTCTCACTGGGATATTTGTATAATTGGGAACCACATACTTCACTCCCATTGAATTTTTGCCTCTTATTGAGGCTTTTTTCTTTTGAACATTATTCTGAGGATTTGTGGAAAACAGAAGAAATGCACTGTGCACTTGTGCTGAACGCCTTCTGCCAAGTACACACAATTCCCATTGCAGCTGGCAGGACTTAAGAAGGTCAATGTATTCAGAAGAAAAAAATCCAAAAAGCATCTTAACTTATGCATATGAAATGAAGAAGCATCTATCTCTAAATAATGTCTGGTATATTCTAATGGAAGAGGAGAAACAGAAGAAAAAAGGAATTAAAATTCAAATGCACAGCAAACAAGTTTATTTATCAAACTTGGTACCTTGCGAATTGTGGGAAATTTTCCTTCATACCGATAAAACCATCCAAAAGCTAAAAAAAGGTAAAGGAAAAGTTTTTGTTTTTCTTCTTAAAAAAAAAAAAAAAAAAAAAAAAAAGTCAAGGACTGGTTCCTATCAATCCCTGCTGATACACAACTGATTAAAATTTATTTGAAGGCACAACAAAGGTTCAATATTGCATGACAAGATCTTAGATAACTTCTTGATCAATTATGCTAGTACACTTAGTCACAAATAATCCTTATTTACTAATACACATACCTTATGTTAAATGAAAAAAAATGCAATAAGCAAGCTTCGTATAGAACTATACAGCCATATGCATTGCTGAGATCTCTATGGTCACAGTCTTACTTTACACTAGTTGTAACAAGCCTTCTCAAAATCAAACAGGTATTCAAACTCATTCAAGCTTGTGGCAGAACACAGTGGCATTTGAGTAGAAAAGAAAAGCTCCATTCCGTAGAATAAGCTAAGTAAAATCATACAAAGTAATCCATTACCATAATTTTACATAATAAACAGTAACAACACACACAACTCTAAGTATAATCCATCATTCTTAGGATTGACATGTTTTGTATTCTTGTCGAGGTATCTCTAGAATGCAGTGACAGCGACAGTATTGTAACATTTCATCATTTACCAAAGGACCACACAGTTGCCCCAGCAAATACAAATGATAGGTTCAGTGTCAAGACTGACTGTCAGGAGGAAGTGAAACGCAGGAAGGATCTGAATCAGGATAGGAAGTTAAGGCTGAGCGGCAAACCTTTTTGTCCTGCTTCATGGTCCCTTCATCGGTGTCATCTGTGTCAAGTTGGTCATGTGCAACTCCCTTTAAATCTTCTAGAGAAACAAAGGAGGAAAGGAGTGAGGAGATAGAAACGACAGTCCAGCTGGAGGTTTCCATGAAATAGAGATCCGCAATGTGTGACTGGGAGTTTCCATGAAATAAAAGAAGTTAGTAATGTGATATTTTTCCACATAATTGAAAAGAATGGAGGTCCTGCTTAAATCAAATCAACTTCCAACTTTCATGTTAAAAAGCATCAGTTAGAGCAGGTGTAGATGTTGTGAGCCAGGTACCTGCTAAGAGCCATTACATACATTTATTACACACTTCCAGTGTTGACAATCATTAAATCATCTCTAGCTGGCTTGGACATAAAATAGTGATATATTCCGTACAGCTCATTAATGTTGTGTCTGAAATAAATACCAAAGAAGCAGACTGAAATCAATTACTTACTTTTGTGTTTAGAATGAGGGGCAGAGTGCACTTCTGCAGTCACAGTTTTTAGAGATTTGGGAGGCTCTTTAGGCCCCCAGTCTTCTTCCCACTCCTTTTTAATTTTTTCTTCCTCTGCTGTTATCCTATAAGGAAAAAAATGCAGTTACAAATTCTAAGTATAGAAATAACAACATTAATGTAAACTCATTACAATTATTTACTTTTAATTATTTTATTCTTTAAGATAAAGAATCATAAAATGCCCTTCTCCCAAACCATGTTCCTTTCATGAAGTGTCATTTAACTGACAATTACCCAGAAAGTATCTAGAAAAGCACCACTGATCAAAAAAAGGGCAGTCTGAAGGAAAATTCAGAAAATCCTGGGTATGTCACAACTATACTGCCATGTAACCTATTATCTTGGAGCTTCACATATGGTGCCTTTAAGTAGCCTAAGGCCTATTCTTGGCTCTAGCTAGTCTTGAACTGGTATATTGACATATGGTGCCAAAATATACCAGGTCTTAAAGGTATATATGACTATTTATACCGGGATTTTCTTGTTAATCCCTAGTTTAGCTAAGATGAATTTTAAAAATATCCACACTGTGGTCAAAGCACTATTTAATAAAAATCTGATTTCCTGGATAGGATAGGTTATAAAACTTACTGTTTTCAATGCAACACTTAATTAAATCTCTCCTCAAAAAGCAAAAGCTTACTTAAAAATTTATGAGTAAAATTTCTGCTCAAGACAACTAATATCACATGCTAAAAACATAAGCCTTAGTTTAGCCTAAATCTACTCAGCTTTGGTTTTCATAACTATGATAATCTGAAAAGACTATTACTACACTGTATACCTCTCACAGACTGAACAAGCATTTTATTTTATTTTTTTTTTAATATAAACTAAGTGGATATGCCATTAAGTGCCTAAGCATATACATATTTTCCATCCCTTTAGTTATTCTTCTGTTTCGTCCTTGATGTGTTTCCTTCCAGGACACATTTCTTCTTTTCTCTTAAAATTACATGTAGCGGCCAGTAGAGCAAACAAATTCAGAGACACAAAACTTCTTCAATCTTAAATTACTCTGTACATACTATTTAACTATACTATATACACCGTATAACATACTCTAAAAATAAACATTCAACTTCAAGCTGACTTTGAATTTATCATCACCATAACCCTTGTGTTTTCCAGGTGCTGCTTTTCAGATACGTTTCCTATTCTGCAACTCTGTGGTACACTTCCAGGATGCACTGGGCCCTATGCTTAGCTAAATATACAAATTTATTAGAAAAGCATATGGAGAGTGTTTTCAGACAGAAGCACATACATAAACACTCTATTTTTTGGGGCAGCGTATTGCCTATGTAGGTTGTTACTTACTGCGCTATTTCTCTGCGATATCTCTCTTCTTCCTCTGCAGCCTTCTGGGAAATCTCCATTTTTCTTCTACAACATCATGAATTAGGACATCATAATACAAATAATATTTTCTGAGTAAGAACTTCCACAAAGTGTGGAAAGCATATAGTTAATATGCAAACAGTAAACACATGCACATTAGAAAAAAAAAAAAAGCTCCTTTAAAAAGTCTTCTTTAAGATATCAAGAGTTCAACATGCTATTATTTAAAACCTGAGGACATTCAAGACCATCTGCTTAAGAAGGATATCTCTGCAACTCTGTGAGTCACTATCTCCTTCTGAGACAGTTCCACAGCATGTTATTGTGAGAGTATGAATTTGTAACTGTTCCGCTAAAAATAAAGGACGGGGGAATGTCACAAAGAAAATACAAAATATCACATTAAACCATAGGGGTATGAAAGTCAGGGAACAGTGATTCTTGAGTGATTCTCCTACTGAAGACATGCATTTGAATAATGTTGGTTTGGAAAACCCAGAACATCAAGGGGATAAGCAATTATGAGCAGAGACTCCACAAAAGCAAGCATAACTTAATCTAAGTTGGGAATCTCTTTAAGATTATTCCTGTCTTACAAGCCCTTTTCAAATCCAAGCTACATTTTTCAGACCCTCCTACGGAGTCCTTACAATCTCTCTTTCTCTTGCTGCTCTTTGATGATTTTGTTGGTTTCCAGCGCAAGCCGCTTCTGATGCATCAACTCCTGGCGTTCCTGCTCACGAAGACGTGCCTCCCTCTGCCTCTCGTCTTCAGTCATAAACAGCTCTTTTCCCTGCAATCAGCACCCCAACACAAATCAGTCACGAAAGAGTCTCATTAACATCGTTTTTCCGGGGAATAATTCAAAACCAATTATGTAACAGCACATCTGTCATTTCCTCACTTAACTTTCAGTGAGGAATGCTTTGTGAAAGACCCCCAAAAGACCTGGTAATTTCACTCCAAAGAGATACTCCAGTTTTGTTCCAATTTATGATCTGCTAAACACCTTAGAAGAGGCAAGCAACAACTAAAATCAGCAGTAGTGTAGTGGTCATGCCAAAGACACTCCCAGTACGTTACCCAGCACAAACTCCACATTCTGCTTTCTTGGAACCTGACTGAGCAATTCAATGCTAGAGAGCAGCACATTGAATGAATCCCGATGGTGAAGACATCTACACAATCACTGTGTTCTAATGCTCCTGTGGAAGAGCACCATCATTTAGGAAAAATGAAAGCTGGGAACGTATATTGCAAAAGATTATATTAGCTGATGTGTTTCAGTTGGTTTTGTTTCTATTTAATTTGCTTTATAGTGAAGACACCAGCACTATTTTCTGTTCAGGGAAGATATTTCAGTGGTGCTGCTTGTGGAACATTTTGAAAACATCTACCTAGATTTCATTACTGAAACTAAAATCCTATTAATTACGAAGGCAGAATTTTTCACATCTCTGAGGATCAAAGTATAGATCTCTTGAACAAAAGCAGGCAGTGAAGAATGCCTTTGCATTAAGGTTTTTGCTGGACCAGTAAACAGGAGTAAAGAAACAAATAATTTCTCTATTACAATCCCTTCTTCAGTACAGAGATGTGTACTGAGGAAAGGAGAAGCAAATGAGGTAAAGTAGGGTGGAGCAGAGGAGTCCCAAAGCAACAATTAACCATTTTAAGGATGCCAGTGGTCAACACTGGAGCAGTTCCCACCTTTTCTAATTTCTGTTAACATATCTGTGTAGAATATCATATCAATGAAATAATGAAAAGCCACACTGAACTACCTTGGTTTGATGGAATTTGGCAGCGTAAACATTATAATGAAATGCAGCTTTACATTTTATTTATTTTTACTATCTATTTGCCATATAGTAGTTTTCACAAACATTGTGCTTTTGCAAGTATACTACTTACAGCGCCTGCTACCACAGAGATAGTCAAAGTACGGCTGCTTTTGAGCACTCTGACAGCCTGCAAATTGAAACAAATCAAAAAATCAGTCTGCATTTAGTGATAAACATCCTGTATACAAACAATGAACGATGCTGGTTGTCAAGGCTGGAATTACCAAGAGACCTACATGAACTGAAAAAAAGATGGTAGCAGTTCAGATCTCTAGATTCTCATGTTCGATACACTCTTAGGTTAAGTAGCCCAGTATCAAAACATGTTTTTGCAGCCAGGAAAATTGGATAGAAGCTTAAAAACTGACAGCTATGTATTCATGGAATTAGGAATTCTCATTTCTTACCTCTTTATGGTCCACATTAGAAAAGTCCACTCCATTTACTTCGACAATCTGATCACCAACCTAAAGGAGTTAATCCATATTTTAGTATAGATGCTGAATTAATACATATACTAACCAGATTTGGGGGGGAGAGAGAGAGAGAGGGACTTTATCTAACATTCTCAATACAATAATTACCAGTACTGGCAGGGTGTAAGGGGAAAACTGGCCAGGTTTGCATGTCCTCCCATAGGCATTTCTTACCGCCACTATTTGAAATCAAATACTGAACTGGGTGGAATATTGGTTTGACCCTAGAAGTCATCTTGTTGTTAAAATGTAGGGAACTTGCTTGACTGGAAATGTAATACACAACATTTCTTTGTTATGGAAGGAAATCACAGCTAGTGATTCTACAATGATCCAGAAAACCTGGAGACATAAATGCCAAATAAGATTTCCTTGTAGTACCTACCTTGGAATGTGGCATACATACCTCTAAGCCCACCTCCGCTGAAAGAGAACCTGGCTTAACGTTGCTGATAAAAATGCCTGGTTTTTGTGTTGGACCACTGGAAATACTGGTGTAAGATTAAAACAAATGAACAAACACAAACAACAAAAAACACATATTTATACATAATATTTACACATTAATACAAAGTAAGCAAGAAGGCTTGAACTTAGACTGTTAAAACCTAAAAGAAAATTATCCAAGCTTGTAAATACTGGTTTAAATGCTGGAACTAACATAGTACACTGACCTACACTAAGTTCCTGGGACACTAGTGGTATTGAAAAGCCAGCATGTAATACAATGATAAATTAGTAATTTCTTGCATAGTTATGAACTGCAATTCATTATGTATTTAGAAGCAAAAAAGATGGTGCAATCAGGGTCCAACATCTAGCAAGGAAACACTGAGATGCAACCTATGCCGCATGCCAACAGCAATTATTTGTGAGGGTAATATATCTAGCAGGTGATACAGAATCACCCTTACAGGTTTGTAAATATATTTTTAAACTTGACACCTTCCACACAATATGAAAGAAAACTTGCTTTAGAAAATATTCTGTTCAGTCTCATCTTGCTAATTTCTTGCTAATTTACTGAATATACCTACATGTCTAAGAAAGCCTCCATAACTAGATGCAAGGACACGAGTCTGAGAAATATCTGTTCATATTTCTAAAAATGTTGAAAATTCAATATTCATTTTAGGAAATGGGTATAGATGGGCAATGGTTTTTCAGTTCAGAAAAGTTTCACAGGAAGCAGTCTAAGTTCAGGGAATCAATCTAACTATAGGTAGTGCTGGAGCCTGCTATGTCACAGAGCAGCACTTAAAATTTAAAAGCATTTAAAAGGTCAAGTTCCATGACACAACTTGTGTTATGTAACTCAAATTTAACAATAAGAGCAAGATTATAGAGAACTGTTTTGATTTTAAGTCAGAACTTGGGACACAGGTATTATACCTTGTCTAATAATATATCATGTGTCACAGATGTCCTGCTGTTAGTCTTCCTTATCCTGTGTGGTTCTCCATGTCCCTAATATCATATTAATGAATGAAGGAAACAACTGCCTTGGATGTCTCATTTAACAAATCAGTGATGTTAAGTAAGAACTATGCACCCACCTGCATCCCATGCCTTTTGTACCAATCAGGCTAATGAAGACTTTCTTCTCTTTATTGTCTCTCCCTCCAGAAGAGGCAAGACCAGCGACACTGCCCTTTGCTTCCTGCAGAAGGATTAAAAAAATGCTGCAGATGTTATTCTGTGTTGAAGTTCTATCAAGACTACTATAAATATCATGAAGCCAGGACCAAACCCTGACAATACCAAGGTAAGATTCCTCAATGGACCTATCAGAAATGAATGTGAAGTACAGTGGAACAATTTGACTGAGGTGAAAGACTGAACTTATCTATTTGGAGAAAATTGTTTAAATAGTCAAACTGCTATCCAGTAAAGGATGAAGGAAAATTAGAAGAAAGTGATATGGCAAAATAATCATTTAGATGTTCCTTGACAAAAGAGCTGGAAAAATACCTGATAATGATTACTATTTAACTAAGCCTTTCTTTCTGAAAGCAAAAGAATGATAATTGTGGTCTTTCTCTTCATTGCTGCAACCCATTGAAGTCATTTGCATTCATACCTGTCTTTCTTCCACCAATATAACAAAGATAGACCAAATAATCTTTTAAAGATTTATATAGATAAAGAATGGCCTGGTAAATTGATAGGCTTAATCAAAATAGGGTACCATTTCATGAGTACAAGATATTCTATTTGTATCAGGCTCTTTTCTAGTGATTCTAGAATCATTTCATATCACAAAAGATGTTTCTCCCAGAATACTTGTAATAAGATATTGCACCTTAAAAATAAATACAATGACTTCTGTGATAAACTCAGAGGATAGAGTGGTTCAGAACAATTACAGACTTCCCAGAAAATATCTTAATAAAATATTGATCTCTTACCCCAGATTCTGACACAAACTGGTCCACATATTGCCATTTAAGGGGTTCATCTGCTGAACTGGAAGGAAAAAGTGATTAAAAATAATGGTGAGCTATTTAAATGGAACATTGAATAAGCATACAATTCTTTAGGCTAGTAAAGCTGGTCAAACTTAAAATTGAGTAAACCTCTCCAAGTGAAATAATATTGGGAAACTCTAAGAATAACCAGGAAAATAATCTTATAAACTGGAACAGCTTATACAAATGTCTATGCAGAGACACACCTCTCAATGTTAACATTTGTCCACCATTCCACTTAAAGGTTTGCCTTTTCAAAAAACTGGACAAAGACAATAGTTTGAACTTTTTTATGAGCTCTGAAGCAGTTCTCAGATGTTGTATAGCATGCAGTAGCAGCAGAAATCTGTTAAGCAAGGTGCATTGATAATGAGATTTCCAGGCTGCATTCACTAGGATAGAAGAAATAGAAAATAGTTCATTTAAGTAGGCAACTGGCCTAACAACTCAGATACTTTAAACACCACATCCACCTGCTCATCACACTAGACATATCATTTTAACTAGGTAAGGAGATGCCTGTTCACAAGTTTTCCAACATACAGATAAGCATAATGGTTCTTTGAATATTGAAAAGTCTGTGTAAAAATTAAATATTATTACCTTTTGACAGGTATCATTCCAATATCTGAAAAAGAAAAATGCAGTGTTAAGTAACAGCATTTCAACAGATCACTAGCTATCAATTAGCAACAACCTTCAGCAATACAGGAGATTTTTGAAGTTACTTACGTCTTACTTTTATGGACACTATTTTCTTCGTGCGAATGAGGTTTATGACTTCCTCATGTGTGCATGATGAGATGGAATATCCATTTATACGAACTATCTCATCTCCAACCTCAGAAATGAAAAATAGAAGGAAAAAATGTAAAATAAGATTAAAAAAAAAGTTTCTAAGCAATGATGTGATCTGGCAGTTATTTAGATGCAGAGGTTTGATGATGTTGACTTCTCAATATTCTGGGGATTTCAAGTAAGTGCCAGATGAGATTTACCTGTATTTGTTTGAAACCAATTCTCAACACCAACAGTATAGATAAATGGCCAGAATACTAGTTTTACAAATAATATTTGGTGGAAAGCAGAAAGAGGAGCCAGACTTCAACCCTGCAGATTATCTTATATACAGGTATCCATATTTCAATTCAAACAATTTTGGAGCATTTTTCCTTCTTTATGCATTAGTAATTCAGGTTTTTACCATATGTTCTCTAAGATACTTTCCTAACTTTTCTGATCAATAGGAAGTTAACATTGATCTTATTAACTTGCCAGATTCTTGATCAGAGTACTGCATTGTTTTAATGAATTTAGCTCGATATCAAATGCAATATCTTATTATTTACAATAGTCATGCACTAGCATAATGAATATTTATTTTGGGGTGCAGTAGTTTTAGTCTTCTTGGATCATCTACATGAGTTACAAAATTGAGTGCTATTAATATGACAGCTTTTTCAGGTGTTTTCACAGCAGCAACCCATCTTTTCTCCCTCAGACTATGGCTGGGGAGACAGTACTGCCACACTATTGTGGCCCCTAGGCCCCTAACGTGGAAAAATAAAGTGGGAAAACTTGGGGCAAAAACCATACAAGGAAGCTCCCAGCAGACAGAAGGCAAACTAATCACTTATTACCAAGCTTACTTGGGTTTCTGTGTGCACGAACTATATATTTGGGCAACAAAGTCCAAACAAAGCATGATGAGAAAAGACCAAGAATGGGTACTCTGAATAGCAGAGACAATACTAGGGTCATCCCTAAGGCAAACTCAAGAGTAAGTAGAAGTAGCTTCAGCTGTAGCTCTTGCTTATATGGTGATAAAATGACAGTGTATTGATGCAAAGCTTTAAATTAAAGAGGCTTCTTCTCCTTTAATTTATACCCATATTTGATACACGGCAACTTGGACATCTTCTATTTTCTCTGAACTCTGCCTAATGGTCCCCTTAGGTAGGTAGCCTAAGAAGGAATCAGGGATGGAGACACTGCCTACATCATTTAAGGGTGTATCTTACTAGCTGCTTGAGATGACACTGAAAAACACAAGGCCTTGGCCAGAGCATTATAAGCACTTTTGCCTGATGCAAATTATGTGATGTGACTGTCTGAAAAGTAGTGCCAACTCTCCCCCATTAGGCAAATCAACCCAAATTAATCCTCTGCACAGAAGGATAGGTAAACGCTTACCAGGAAATGGCTTAAACAAACCAAATGTTACCCTCATCTATCTCTGTACTTTGATCTTCACAAGCACAATGCCAAATACCTCGACTTTACTGCTCTCCAGCAACATTTTCTACTGTGAATATTTGTATGTAAAACATATCGAAATGCCACCTGGGTAGTTGACAGGATATTTCTCATTAATATTAATAGGATTTTGTTCTTAATTATGAAATTTTGTGTGGTCCCTATAAATCTGCTTTCACGGCAGCATTACTACTAGTTAATGATTGCCTACATTTTCCAATTAAGACTCAAGTTTTGAGCTGCAAAATTGTGTTTGTTTAGGCTTAAGTTCTCCATGCTAGTGTCCTCTTTAAGATGATTTTAAATTTTGGCAAAGGTAATGGAACAAGTTCTAGACAACAAAACTTGGGTGGAATGCATTCTTGCGTTCATTAAAGAAAAACAAGAACAGAAAAAAAAAACAAAAACAAAACAAAAAAACACTGTATCTACAATCACTTTGTTGAGAGGCTCTGTGCTTTCGTTGTAGATTTGGAAAAGGTCCTTATACCAGAAATTGAATATCACGAACATGAAGTCTTAGTGAACATCATCATTGACCCAAAATATTTAGAAGGAGAGAGGCTCATCATAACAAATTTAATGAAAGTTAGTTAATGTGATGACTCTGCCCATACTAACTCTGGTCTGGGGAAAACTTCCCTTTCATCCAGTTGCTTGGTATGAAGATCAGCTGTGAACATGTTTGCAGAGCAAAGAAGTAGGCTGGAATCCAGGGGGCCAAAGAGTCTCCGTGGGAATAGAAAGTAATGAGAAGTTTCATTCAGACTTAAGCACAAAGTCATTTTTGCACAATGGCATTTCCTCACTATCTGCTTACATCCCCAAAGACTTCATTGTTATATTTACACAACAGTATTACGATAAACATTGTAATTTTTAACACAACATTCATTAAGACACTGCAAGCAACCACTACCTTAGTTAACTCTATGATACAAGTGTTTTCCTACAGAACACTACCATTTCTCTTTTCAGCCAAATTCTTCCAGTCTCCCCCATAGAGACTTTTCAACTTTACTGTCAGTAGAAAGACAGAATGTAACACCACTGTTCTTAGTCATACCAAGAAAGTGACCTACGATGGCCACTTATATCAAGTCATGCAGTCTATCTGCTGTTTTTTCCATCATGTAAGCTCAATGACAGTATCTGCACCTGAAGAGGCTTTTAACAAGTGAAGAAGTCACAGTCTAGGTTGCTGAGGACTTGCTTCCCTGAACCTTGCTGACATTTTCAGGGAAAAAATGAGTACAGCTAGAGACCCCTGCTCTGGTTCTGTGCATCTCAGCACCAAATGCTGCAATTTGCCTTGCCACGTTCATGTTGGAGGAGCAAATGGAACTGGAAGCATGAATTTCTCAGTACAGCCTGTACCTTAGAGACTGTCACCTGGGCTGCGATACCTTTATCCCTAGATGATGGGATATTGGACATGCCATTACTCAGTGCCTCCACTCTTATTTGCATGGAAAAAATATCAAGTTTTTCTACAGTGCTCTGTTCAGATGGAAAAAAGGCACCAAAACCCACATTGTACTTTTCCACTTTCACAGACTTCTACGCTGAGAAGTGCCATATGGTGTGTAACACTATACAAAACACTACAAATACGTCAACTGTACCAGCATATCACATGCAGTGTGGTATCCACTAGAGATCGTAAAGTTCAACTGACACCACATAGCTCCGAAAGACTAACAAAGTAAAAATAAATAATAATAATAATAAGGGACTCCCGAAGCAGAGAACATTTTGCAGAGGCCGAACAGCTGTCCACAACCCTTAAATGTGGGACTGCTGCTCCACCTGCTGGACACCCTGTATCTCACTCAGGGCAATGGCCTGCGTGCAACTCAGCACCCCAACCAACTGGGATCAATTGCAATGCTCTAACTTACATAAGCACCCCCATTTTAAGACTGCAAATGGCAGTACTGTTTGAGAGTCTCAATGTAGTTTTTGTATCAGGAGACTAGTGTTGCTCTGACGATGTCATTATTCACTAAGAAAGTCATATCTGTTAGCATTATATCAACTCCCTAACAGACACGTTTACATAACCATAATTTCAGCCAAGAATGTATTTTATTTTCTCTGCCCATAAAGGAATGAACGTTTCCCATTCAGATATTTTCACTGCTCACCTTTAGTCATTTCATTTCTGAAGCTGCTCAGCACTCTCAATTTATCCTAAAGACATTTCTGTTGCTGACAATGAACACTGATGTTGCTTTATGCCTGTCTAGGCCAAAACTACTGCAGACATCATGGGCATGTAATGAATCACTTCTTTTTGGTACACTTCAACTGTTTTTCCTGAGAACTGTCCATATACTGAAGTAATTGATAGCTGTTTTCATACATTACGGTGCTTTTGTACTAGTGTCATTCTATATCAAACTGTTGAATCAGAAGCATTAAAGATAAGAGTCTGCAGGTAGAGCAGAGTACAACAGTAATGCTTTCTTTGTTATTATATATCACCATTTCCCTATGAACAGGGAGATGACAGACTTTTAAAAGAGAAGCTGCAAACCTAACTTTTCCCAAGTGAAATGCCTCTCATTTTCAACTTTTAACATGGGAAATATAATATTTAGTGCTTCCAGGAAATTGAAGGGTTTTTATATAAATGACATTACTGTTTCAAATTTCTCATTTGGTATACTTCTTCCACTTTCATCACTCATCCCAATCTCAATCTTTTTGTATTCAACAGAATCTCCACAGATAAAAGTATATGAGAAAGCAAAGTGGGGAAAAAAAAATAAAAATGATTAAATACATTTTGTCATGAAAGAACTATACACTTGTCTTTTAGAGAAACTGTAGTTAAAGGGCCAAAACTACAAATACGTTAGTGAAGTTTCCTGAGTACTCAGTCATTTTAATGTAGCTTGGGAACTACTTCAAGGAGAAAAGCACACAAAATTAACAAGATTAAAAAAAAAAAGGCAGCAGGATAATAAACTGATGTTATAATAGATCATTATACCTTTCTCAGACAGCATTTTTGGGATAGAAAAAGTGTAGAGATTTAGTTAAATAACAGGTGGATGAAATTTCAGAAGCAGTTGGCTTTATTACGAGACAGCAATTTAGAACAATGAGCTGCCTGTCAACTCTGCTTTTTCACTTGGGTTTAGAAAGTGCCTAGTGCCACCTATTATGAAGGCATTTCAAGCTGCTCCTTAACACCCCCTAGCAACAAGCACAAGTCAGACAGTCACGTTAGCTGTTCATATTAACATATATATAATCTAACCCTGACAAATTCACAGTCTCGTGGATTTTTCTTTTTGCCCTTGTTGCCCCTACTTTGTCTGCTGAACTCCAACCAAGCTGAGTTGCAGTACAGTCACAAACCCAGCCCAAAGATCCTGTTCATTCCCATTCACTATCACCAATATATAGCACAACAGCCCATTACAGAAAGCCAGGAGTATCTTTTTGCATGCTATGAAAAAACAAAGTATTGGCATCTTTACAGTAGCATGACAACTGAGCACAACCTTCTTATCTGTCGTGTCCAACCATCAGGCAAATAAGCAGAGAACAAGAGCTGCAACATAGCGTTAAGATGAATATACTAGCCTAACAATAGAAGACAATGGCTGTTAAATCCTTTACTGCTCAGCATCACTAGTGCCTTCCAGTATTTTTAAGGAGATGCTTTAAAAAGCAATAGAAATGACTGGTCTTTTTATTATTACTATTATTTTTTTTTTTTTATTTAAAGTTTTCTAGCAGCGGAGGAAGGATGCACTGGATCTCTCTACTGAGCTCATCATAATCCAGGTGTGTCTTTTTACCCAGTGAGAATGGGAAGGGTAGACAAAAATAATGCACAAGGCACACAAGCTTTTGTAATACAAAGCCTGGGAAGGTACATCAATGCCCCTTTCTGGAGTCACCCACCAGTAAATCCCATGCTTATGAGTAGCCTGCTGACATATACAGCTCATCATTTGTGGTGTCCTATGCCACCCTCACAATTCTAACTAAATTCAGAATTTGTGGGTGTGTATTCCCTGAGTTTATGGTTTTGTTTTAAGAGGGGGCTTCTAAAAGTGTCCAGAGAGCTCATCATGTGCCTACTCAGAGCATGCTGCCAAAAGATGGGACTAATTCAATGCTGATTCTGAATTAGTGAATGGGACATCTAGGTGTGAATGCACAACCAAAAGGGCACGTGTACATGTAAGCAAACACATAGAGGAACATTGAAATTTTAGAAAACTCTCTGTGTAATAAGCAAACATTGAACCCTAATTGTGACTGCCTTGTGGAAAAGGGCTACAGTGAAGCTTATCTACAGAACATAGTTTAATTAAAAATTGTATTGAATCATGATAATTGACACATTTTGGACTATTATTAAATATAATCCTTAAATATCAACACTTGCAAAAACTATTCATGCTCCACAAATTGAAATTAGCCAGGCATATCAGCTTTTCTACTCAGAAATACAGACCCTTAATACACCTTATCAACTACTGTCTTAGAAAGATGCAGACATTTGTCACAGCAATTGCTCACTTCTTTCTTCACCAGGAAATATATGAAGAAAGGACACACACACAAACTAACAAAACCCACAAACCTTCATTAATACAAATTGGAGGAATCAATTTAGGAAAGAGAAGTGTTTCTACAAGTAATTATTTTTGCCAGCTTTGTTACAGTTCATGCAGCTAGAATTTAATCACTGAAAGAGCAGTACTATGCAGTAAAAAAGACATGGAAGACATGACCTTTTTTTGCCCTTTTCTGTGCTTCCATTGGGAAAAAAAAACAAAACAACACAAACAATCTACACTTGAAGTTCAAATAAACACCTCATTACACAAATCTTATCAATGCAACGTGAAATTGACATTCTCAGTATTTATGTGCTCTGTCCTACCTTTAATCAGATTTTGGCAAAGTTAGAGAAGACCTTTTGTTCTATCAGCTTACATTGAACTATGGCTATTCATGAAGCACAGATTCCAGAAAGCCCTTTACTCTTCACAGATCATCATATCCCAAACATGAAAAAACTATTCTCTTACTTAATTTTAATGATATGTAAACCATTTTAATAACCTCATTCACTGATGGTATCTGCTATGGCATCGTCTTACATATGTTTTGAATTTCATTAGAAAAGACAAAAAGCACCTTTGCTACAACTATCTCTAAACACTGAAAGACATTTCTTACCACCTGCTTCCCCAACATTGGAGCAAAAAGCATTTTGCAGCACAGTATCCAAGAATATAATCATCTTACCTGAAGTCCAACATTGTCTGCTTGTCCTCCTTTAACTAACTGGGAGATAAAGAGGCCACAGCTAAATTCCACTCCACCTCTCACACTTAGCCCAAGTCCTTCAGGATGCAAGCGATCCAATCTCACTTCTTTCAGCTTTCTGCAAAAGGGGAAGATACCTGACTGTTCAGCTGCATAACGTTTTGTTGCAATAGTGTTTCATATGCAAGTTGTGTATTATTCTTCTCTCATAGCATTCAGGCATAAAAAAAAACAAACCAAAACAAAACACTTGACTAATAGAGCCATAAGAATCTATTATTATTATTATTAAATGCAGGAAGAATGAGAAAAGACTGTTTCAACAGGGAAGCATTGTTTTTAGATTCCCATACCCTGCTTTTACTAGATTAACTACCACGCAATAAATTTCACATAGTTCAAAACTATACTTCCAGCAAATACAGCGAGCGTCAAAAAATGTGAGTTTATCTAAAAACTCAGTCAGTATTACTTGGTTGTATTTTCTGAAGTTAGCTACTTTATTCTATATCCCCTTACCTTGATCTTTTGGGTGTAAGCTGATCATACTCCACCTGGTGTTTTAATGGAATAAGTGGGCGGATAGCATCAAATAGAGGCAACCTGCTTGGTTCGTTAATCACGAGTTTTAGATCCCCCACAAGCACTGGAAGATTCATAGATCTACAAAAACACAGTGAGAAAACAGACACAGGTAATCAACACAAAGAACTATTTAATAACTAGCTGTACATTTGTCTTAAATATTTGTGTGCCCCTTCAACCTACCGAGGAAGTTATTTATACAAATCTTGGTTTAACCAAAGCAAAATAACCTCTGAGAAAGCAAACTTTCTGTAAGCAAACAAGAAGAATACCTCCTTCAAAACAACTGAAATATCCTATACAGTGCTTTTATTTTTTTAAGATCATGCACATCACCTTTATAGATGGTATGTAATTAAATGCTTGGGGCTTTCCAGATATTTATGGTACTGTTTGAAATTAACTTTACAGACCAGACATACCTGCCAACTAGATTTTTATTTCCTAGCAATCCTTCTTATTGAATCTAGGCTGCAAACTCTTCTCCTGAGCTGAGCTCAAGGGATGGATGAATCATTCAGAGCCAGAAAAATCACGTCACTAAGTAATTAGAGCACAGACTACTTAAGTTCTAAAATTCATTTCAAACCAGAACAGAAATAAAAACTGAAATAAAAACCAATGAAAAAAATAACCGAAACAAGTGAAACCACCGTGAATGTTTGGTTGAATGACAGCTAGACAAAGTATCCCTTAATACTATCAGCACTGAGGTAGTTACAGGGCTAGAAAGTGTTCTTTGATGGCCAACTGCAATGAGTGCAACAGCTCAGTACAGTTCAGTGGAGCTATTCCTGCGCAACATCCACCTAACTTGGTGTATAGTAACTACTGATCCCTCTTTTATCATTTACATTTCCTGACATGCACTCTCTCTAAGGCATATACACTGAAAATACGTCTCAGGAATGCATATTAAATGGCATTAGAGGTCAAATACTTAAATTTAGAAGTGCTTTTCGCAAAGAAGCAGAAATAAAATGTTATCTCCAATAGCAAATGTGTATATTTTTCCCCTGGAACCCTTCATCAAGGATTTTTAAGAAGTGATACTTCATCAATCATAGGGATCATGGAAATTTTGCTTAAGCCATTGAAATTTTGGAAATCAAGGAAAAGTTACTATATGCATTGTTAATTTTGTAACTGTAAGAAGATTTTAAATAATTAAGAGCTACTGATTCAACCTCCTTTCCAAACAACAGGCTTTATGAATGGAGAAGCAATTAGACAGACCTGAGTGAAACTGAATCAGATATGCAGCTGAATACACCCCAAACTAGAGCTCAGTGCAAACATCAGATCAAAATATCTACATTACACTTAGCTGAGATGCTATTAATTAAGATATGAATGGAAACAATGCCTATTAGAGCCACTCATCTACGCTGAGTGGAAAATACACTCTCATTTTCTTTCAGAAACAATGGATGAGATGCTGATCCCATGTGCAATGATATAGGTCCTATGCAACTAGGGTTTAAATCACTTCAGTAAAGGACTGGTAATTGGCCTATCACTTTACCATTTTTTTTTCCATTATGTTGGAATATGTCAGTTGTTAAACATGCCAAACGGATTCCCAGCTTTCAGATAAAAACAGTTGAAAGTAAGTCTTAATCTGAGTAGTATGCAAAAATCTTTAAAAAGCAAACTGGGTGAAAACCTCTGTTGAAAAAAATAAGTATCATTTGGAAATACAGCAATATCACTTGGAAATAATAATGAATCAACACTCTCTTCCTGTTTACTAAGAACATCCATGTGCTTTTTTCCCTACTAAGAATCCACCAAATTAGTTTACAAAACTGTCAAATCAGAAAAACAAAGTAACTTTGCTATTAACAAAAGACATACCCCTTTATTGGCCACAGAAAATGTGAAACTGAAAATGTAAGACTTCAGGAAAAAGAATTAAAAATTATTATTTCAACTGATTTTCTAGGAATCTATAGAAAGAGCAAAAGTCTTGAATACCCACTTTTAGAATTGCAAAACTAAGTAAGATTCTACAGAAGTATATATATAACTAGATCTTACTGGTGGTACATCCGCAGCACATCATAAAGGTAATCCTTCTCCGCTTCATTGTCAATTAGCAGATTAACCTGAAAATCCAAGGACATTACTGTAAATCTGACTAAACCGTCACAAACATTTCATGTACAAAACTTTCACAAAATCTTAAGTCACAGATCAAATATTTCAACAGGGAAAGTTTTGATTTTTTTTAATTAACCCGTTTTTGCAGCAGAGAATACTTCACAATGTGAAATTTACAACAAGACTTCTTTTTAATTATTATTATTATTACAATTAGACAAAATAGTAAATACCAAAGTCTCATATTCTCTATGCTAGATTTCTTCTTGGCAGCGTAATAGTCTGAAAATAATAGCACATTAGTCTTACCTGATAATTGCTGTACTGTTGAATAAATGTTTTCAGAAACCTTTTTGGCCACTCATTAATATAACACATGTTGCCACAGAGAAAAATACCCCACTGAGATAATTATAATCTATGCTCTGTGGTTCCAAACCACTGATTTCAAGCAGTAGCTCATTTGTAACATTACGTAAACAGCCACACTCCTGTTCCTCTTTGCTCCAGCTCTTAACTGATAGAACTTGCCGGTTATTCTTTCCTCCCCCGGTAATAGTACGTTTACTTAAACCAGTGTCACATTACAATGCCTGCTCTTGGATACTTGCAGTAGAATACAGTAAAAAAACAAACAAACGAACCCAACCACTCAGAATTCTCATATGAGGAATTCAACTTGTATTCAGTGACATTGGTAAGACCCCCACTGATCTTAATTACAGTGAGAGATCACATCACAGTAGTTTTACATTTGGACAACCTTAATGTTTAGGAAAACAATTTACAACTGACCTAAAGTCTAATATTACTGTGACGTGAAGTCTGAGGACCAATTTGCATACTTAAAGAAAGGTCTTTGCTTTCCAGGTTTGCAATGCTTTGCGTTATATTCTCAACTGAATACATGCTTCATGCTCCCTTTGTCTCTTTTCACTCTCTAAATCCAGCCAGCGACTACATATAGATAGTTTTCCATTACTTGTCTCTGGAATAAGACACTTGTAAAACATCTCAAGGCTAAAAACCACTGCACGCAGGACTCTTTCATTGAGTAACAGTGAAAGACTCTTTCACTGAGTAACAACAGCAAGTAAACCTATTTTTTTTACAGCAAATTTCAAAACACCAAAGAAGTCTGCCTTAACAGGGAACAACATGATTAGAGTTGTAACTGACTGGTTCACCAGTACCACACACAGACTCAAGTCAAGGCGATATAAGACTCACCCTCTTCTGCTAACTAAGGCACTGTAGGAGCCTGCTTACATTGTCTCATGAAGAGCACTGAATATTCGAGTGCATTACCACTACACAGCAAAGACCCAACCTACCATCATCTTTTCTCCTGGACAGGAAAGCAAGTAGTGACAACGTTACATTTTTCTCCTGATAGGCTAGCTGGTAGATATGTCTCCCACCACTTCTCAGACACTAGAGAACCATGTCCAAACTCTACCACTTCTCGCAGAACATTCAGACTGCAACCATCCTGTTTGGTTCCTACAATTCTCACCCAACACAAAAAACTTCCCCCTCCCTTAACAAAACCAAGTGATTACTTCAATATTCATAGTACTACACCAGGGATAATCTTCCCAGACCATCTCTCTACTTAAGTCATTCTTCTCCTTCTGCCTTCTATTCCACCAAAGTCATTTCATTGTAGCCACCCATCCCTTGTCATTTACCTAAAATCATGAGCTCCTTGAGACAGTCTTACTATAGATACATAGTTACTTAGGCTTGTCAACAGCTTCTAACATGACTTTAATGTCATAAATCCTTAAAGGTCATGCCTCCACATATTAAGAAAAAATAAATTAGGGGTGATGTGCTGTGACTTGGACCAGTGAAGTATTTTAGTTTCAGTCTCAAGAAATCAACAGATCTGTGCACCAAGGCCATGGTTTCTGGTTGAACTGTACTATCTCTTTTGGCAATTAATTATATCTGACCTTAATGGATTCTAAGTGGTTAAGAGCTCACCCTATGTATCTCTGTGTTGAACAGATAAAGGTCATTAAATTATAAAGGTCATTTTCACACATAAAAAGGCTATTTGCACAGTGAGTGCAGAGGATCTAGTACTTGGTGTCACAATAGTACATGCTAATGCACTCTGTAAACTTGTCTATTAACATACTAACTATGACCAGGGTTTGATGAGGTTAACAAGTAGACTCCTAATCTCCCACTTGAACACAATGAATTTTAGAGACTTCTTTCTAACTTCTTCATATTTTTTCTTATATTCTGTCAGGACATAAAATCAAAGTAGTGCTATCATTAGGCTTACACTGATACCATACTAGCAAAAAAGTAACACCTGAGATTAAAATAGAGACTGCAACTGATAAAAACCCTCTCAACTGTAAGAGGGGAACAAATTTAAGAAGCTAGTTATGACAAAGTTATCTGTTACAGGTTTATTTCACTAGGTGCAGAAATGTCTTGCTACTGGCAACTGAAAAACACAGAGCTGACTGCTGACAACTAATGAAGTCTACTAATTTCTTTTACTGTCTGCAAAATTATTACAAACTTCAGGTTCAAACATGGTTTTATGAAAACCGATACAGATAGATTTTGTAAGCAAAAATGAATGTGCAGAAATGTATATACCAGTTCACTGTTTCCTGAATGAGCTTCAATATATGCACCATTGAACTTGATATGCAAGACAAAGTGAACTGCCTAACATCTGCTGCTCTTTTAGAACGTGGCAGAATCTATCAACTGAAAAATAAATCAGTTCTCAGGAGTCCTCAAAAAGCAAAAATGCGTCCTGACTGCTTAGCATAAGGAATTAGAACTGTCCCCAGCATTTGCTGTCTGTTATATAAAATGTCAAGTCTCATGTTACTGCGTCTTACAGAATCATACCTTGAAGCAGTTATAGAAATGCTGTGAAAAACAGCTGAAGACAAGTTCCATTAAGAAGGAATACATTAACTGGTTACACACACAATACAGAGGTATTATATGCTCATTATCTCATATAAGGAAACACTGAGAGAGCTGGGACTGTTTGGCCCTGAGAAGAAAAGGCTCAGGAGGGATCCTATCACCTGAAGGAAGGGTGTAAAGAAGACAGAACCAGGCTCTTTCCAGTGGTGCCCTGTGCAAGAACAAGAGAACAAGTGTAGCTCCTTCTGACCCTCAGGAAGCACTGCGTGCCCCTCACTGTACTGTGATGGGGCACTGGCACAGGCTGCCCAGGGAGGCTGTGGGATCTCCTCCCTGGAGATCTTCAGAAGCCTCCTGGACGTGGTCCTGGGCACCCTGCTCTGGGTGGCCTTGCTGAAGCACTGGGGCTGGATGACATAACCTCCAGGGGTCCCTTCCAACCTCAACCTTTCTGTGACTGATTATTTAAGGGAATCTTCACAGTAGCTGTGTAACTGTCAGACTACAGTGATGCACTGCTGTAGCAGCAGCCCAACCTGTCAACTTTTGCAGAGCAGTATCAATTTCTACCTGAGCTTTGAAAACTATTAAGGGAAATTGAAGATTTATATACATAATATAAATATATACAAATATATAAATATGTGAATTATAAATATAATTTGCATATAGTATCTATTTTGTACTACTGCTTGGCTGATGGGGAGAATTGATTGAAATTACCAAGGGAAAGAAAAGCAGGAAGTATCTGAGTGGCAAATAACTCGGATCCCGTGGCAGGTCATTTTTCTTGTTTTGTCAAAGAAAAAGGAAGTAGCCAAGACATAAAAATCCCCACAGAGGCCACTGAAAGCTGGATAATGCAAACCAATTTAAAGAAAAGATCTGCTCAAGCATCCTATTACTCAGAGAAATGGTTTTCACTTAGACATGCATCCTACTTATTCACAGCAACAAATGCTGACGATTAGACTTTCTTACGTTATCAGGGGTGGGACTAGGATAATTTATGAATTACAGCAGCAGCTAAAGGGAAGAAGTTTAAAGTTCAAAGTGGTAACCATCTGCCTGGAAACCAGAGTCTTTATTGGTATGTTGCACAACCCACTGGTGAGTTATACAGTAATAGGTAACAAGACAGAAATAACTTGCTAGATAGCTGCAGTCATCGTTATGCAGTATCCAAGTCCTTCATGTTTTTGGAATTCATTTTGGTTCTTTGCAGCCCCCCTACTTCATTCTAACAATTCTTTAGTTAATGGTTTATTACCAGATGGTATTTCTACAGAGCACATTATACAACTGCGTTTTCAGGAGCTACTTAAAGGAAACTCTACACGCTAGGAAAACGAGCAAACAAAACAAAGCCAGCACCCCCCGAAAAGGGTACTGAAAACTTAGTTTTCACTAGAGTGAAACTAAACTGCTTTGAAAAAAAAAACAAACAAAAAAAAACACTTCTTAAACATGTTAATCATTTTTCTCTTCTTCTCCTTAAACAGAGCCTTTTGAGCTTACTTCACTCACACAATTTTGAGCTCTGCTGAGCACGCATTTAACCAGGCATACACATGATAAAACGATGTGCCAGGCAGACGGAGTTGCTCCATGAATCAAATGCACTTGCACATGACTGCCCAGGCACAATTGCAGTCGGGACCGCTGAGGTCGGCCTGAAGGCTGCTGAACACGGGCTGCTAACACACGGAACTGCCAAGGGGAACTGCCTCGGCCTGGACTTCAGCACCTGCGCTTTCACCTTCCCTACTGGGTGCAACGCTTCTACCGTGACTTTATTCAAATCCCACAACGCTTATTCTAAGAAACCCTAAAAAACTCACGCGTGACTGAATGTTATTGTTTTTCCTTCTCTCCTTCCCCTCTCCAGGGGGGTCTAAGTTCTCCAAGCCCCTCCCGCAGCAGGCTGCGGCACAGGAGCACCAAGCTCGGAGCCGGCAACAGCTGTCACCCTGCGCAGCGCCCCCGGCCCGTCCCCCCTTACCTTGTGGCGGAACTCCCGGGCCACACGGCGCTCCATGCTGCGGGGAAGGACGAGGGGGAAGGTGCGGGAGCGGGTGCGGTGCGGCCGTGCCGCCGTCGAGGCCGCGCCCCGGGGTGGTGGGAGGCGCGCCCGCCGCCTCCAGCATCCCCGCCCTGCTGCGGTCAGCCCGGCACAGGGCTCCCGGCGGCACCGGGATGGGGGTGGTTGAGGCAAGAGGAAGGGGGGAAAAAAGGAAAAGGGGGGGGAAAAAAAAAGAGGGGAAAGAAAAAGAAAAATGGGAAAGAAAAACGAAAAGAGAAAAGAAAAAGAAGAGGGGAAAGGAGAGGGAAAAAGAGAAAAAGAAAGGGAAAAGGGAAAGGAAAGAGTAAGAAAAAGAAAGAGAGCAAGAAAAAGAAAAAGCAAGAAAAAGAAAAAGAGAGTGAGAAAAAGAAAGAGCAAGAAAAAAAGAGAGAGTGAGAAAAAGAAAGAGCAAGAAAAAAAAGAGAGAGTGAGAAAAAGAAAGAGCAAGAAAAAAGAAAAAGAGAGTAAGAAAAAGAAAAGGACACCACTCTCTCAAGTAGCTCTTTGGGGTGAATTCACTCCTGGTTCTTCTCGTACAGCAGGAGCTCACATCCAAACATCCCTCTTATGTCTGTAGGTACACACATGTCTCTGGCCCTGCTATTTAAGAAGAACATGAAGGTGTGAAATTTAAAGCGTGCTAACACCTGATGGGGGAAAAAAAGAATTTGCTTCAATGGATTTTTCTACAGCAAATAATCTCAATTTTTTCATTTTTTATTTTATTTTTACGTAAGCTGAGTGAGACTGATTTGCCCTGGTTGGGTGTTCAAGGCTGATTTGTTTCTACTAACCTTTCCCATGAAAACACCAGCGTTGCTTATACCTGCAGGCCCTGGAGTGCCTACTTTGAGTAAATGAATAAGAACCAAACTCAGAGTGCCCGAAAGAAGCCTCTTTCAGACTAATGTCATTTAGGTAATTTTCTCTTCAGCTGGTTCCCCTCCTACTTTCCATAATCTAGTACATGATAATACAGACTTGTGCAACTCAGGCTGGAAGCAAGAGGAGGAGACCAGTTAACCCATGTTGCTTAGTCTCACAGACAGTATCAGCTTTACCTTCGTAACTGGAGAGACCCCGGTTTACATTAGCACAGATAGCTTCCCTTTTCTTCCTTCCAATGGGGCGCAAACTTGTATGAATGCATACAAAGCCATGACAAAAAATGAATGATTCCAGACTGCCAAATGCAAACTGGAATCTGTTATATTATTTCCATGTGAAAACCTTCTTCAGCTACACCAGCTCCTTTAGAAATTGCTCCTGCCCCTTTGAGAAGATGGCTTTGCTGTAAAGAAACATGTCAATGGTATTCACTACCCATTACTCATAAAGGTGCCAGGAACAAGAAAGGGAGGAATGCTTTATAAGCCTGTGTTCTTACACACTCACCCGCTGTTTTCAGAGAACAAAATCAGAAGTACAACTAGTACATAAATCACTTGTCTGCTACCTAAGGCAAGTTGCAGTACCGCACAGTATTGAAAAGCTATTCTATCCAAGCTTCATACACACCACCATATTATTGCTTCCCTGAAGAAGTAAAACAAAATTGTTTTATATTTGAAAACAGAAGGAAAGAGATACAAAGTGTTTTACATCTTTTAAATTTCATGTACGTTTCCTTCAAATTTACACCCAAACTTTAAGTCACTGCTAGACAATCACTTCTAGAAGACTTCTACAGAAATAGATCTTTTATCAGCTGGAAGTTATGTACATTTGAAAGAAAGTGACTTTTTAAACATATAGCTATATTTTGCAGGATTAAAATACATAAATACAAAGCAAACAAACCCACAAAGCTATCCCGTGCTTCAAAACAGCAAGCTTAATAATCAGAAAATGTATGAGATGGTTCTGAAGTTTCCATTGTTTCAAACATGTCATATTAAAAGATGGTACAATTACACTGCTTATTAGTTTTGGTCAAGAAATCCCTCATGTTGAGAAATTAAATTACATCTAAATTCGCTTTAAACTAGTTCAATTTCTTAGTTGCTACTTGTGTCACTAAAGGAAAACGAATACAGCAGGCAGCCCATTTACAAGGCGAAGAAATACATTAAAATGTTTGTTGTGTAAACTGACTCCTGTTGCTTTTGATCTACTTTCTCTACTTCCATTAGTGTAATCTGGAACAGAGAGAGTGCACCAAAGCCAAGCATGGTGCATTCGGTGTAGATAGGCTCTGCTCTGAGGTGAGGGTAGAGAAAAAATCTGCAAAATCTCTTTGAGGTTATTTGCAAAATGCTGCGCTGGAGTTAAATAATATCTTTTCTGTCTCCCTTTTCATCTCTCATACATGCACTCCCTCCAGCCTTTGCAGGAGAATTCTCAGTGCCCAACATCGCTAGTTTTCCATCATTTCATTAGAAATGAAACACTTGTTGCAGCAAGAAATCCAATCCACAGGGACAAATTACAAAGGCAGAAAAGAGATCTTTTTAATGACTTGCTGTTAACAGACTTCCCAAAGCAGTCAGAAAAGGCTCCTTTTCATCTGAGACACTTTCTCACCTGGTATGGGCAGCTTCTAAAGCTTCTGTTATAGGATATGCAATCCTGAAGAATGACGGGGAGAGACAGCAGCAGATGGGAAAGGGAAAAGAACAAAAAAGGCAACAGAGAGGGGAAGAGGGAAGAAAAATAGCTGAAGGAAGGTTAGCAGTGACAGAAAATTAAGTCACCAGAAAAAGGAGAAAGAATAAACCTGGAAAAGAGTCTACAGAGAGCTCCACATTCAAGACTGAATTTGTAGTAGCAAAGAGTTATCAGAAATTATCACGATGCCTTAGTGGCTTGCTGCCTCCCGTGTCTCACTCATGTGGTTACTCAACTTCTAGCACTTCTCTCAGTGAAACGGGGCCAATGCTCAGTGTGTTAGGCACTAGCACGGTTTGCTGGCTTCCCTGCCCATGCGGACAGCTGTGTGGAAGCCGAGGGCTTTAAGCTACGAGACATCCCCTCCAGCAGCAGCCTCGAGTCCCCTTTTTGTCCGCGTTAGCGGTGGTGCAGAGACCCCCGGCTCCCAGCTCCTGCCAAGGCACTGAGCGCCTCTTAAACCCAGAAAGCCAAGAAAGAGAAAAAAGAGAAAGAGAAAAGAGACGTGAGGGGCCGGAGCCGCTCAGCCAGGCCCCGGTACGGGGCGAGGGGCGGCGACCGGGCCGGGTGCCCGGGGAAGGGCCGGGGCCGGAGGGCGGGCCGGGGGCGGCTGATAAACCCCCGGCCGCCCCGCCCGGTGGGGCTCAGCCCTGGGTATCGGTAGCGGCTGGTGCTGAGGGCTGCTGCGGCTCTGGGGAGGTCGTTGCTGGTGTCTGGATGGAGGCTCAGCTCCTCGTCGGGGCGCTGCTGTGCGCCTGGCTGCCGTCGGGTGAGCGTCGAGCCGGGGGCAGGAGGGAGGACGGGGCGACCCCGGGCAGGGCTAGCGTCTAACCCGGTGCCTTTGCCTTCCAGCTCTGTCCCCGTGGGGAGCCAGGGCGCAGCTCCCTCCCGACGGGCACCTGCCGCTCCTCAGGTAAGAGCCAGCCCGGTGGAGTGGGGCTCTCTCCTCGCCTCCGCTGCTGTGTGCAGCCTGGGGTGGGGTGGGCTGCCCGAGCTGAGCAAACTGTGTCCTCTTCTCCTGCCCTCAGCACAGGCAGCGCCGCAGGACCTCGGGGAGGGGATGGCTTCATCGCGGCCATGCAGGTAGGGAGCGCAGGATGGGTGTTGTGAGGGGGTGGCAGGTGGTGTGGTGCCCCTCGGGGGAGCTGAGGCTGCCAGGGTGTGTGGCCTTTCTCTGTGAAGTCACCTGGGAATACAGCATCCTTCTCCTGTGGTTGGTGACCTAGAACCAAAGGGGGACCGTGGCCCAAGAGGTGATGTGATGCTGTTTGTTGCCCAAGATGGTGCCTTGCGTTTCCCACCTAGCGCTGGTGTGAAGTGAGGCTCCTGTGAGGAGTGGTTACTAGTTCCAGTCTGAGAGATGTTTTTGTCTGGATGAAGTTCTTCATATCTTACCTGAACAGATGCATACATCACCATGATGCTTCCAGTGTTTCTGGTGACTGTTTCACCATTTGTGTTTCTTCAGGACTTGTTCAAGCAGCATTGAACATCTTTTATCTCTGCAGTAAGGAATGTCAGTCATGAACAGAACAAAGCTTAAGCTTTCAAGTGCTAAGTAGAGAGGGAAGACTGTAGCTAGAGCTTCAGTCCATTCATAAATAGTTGTGTGTCACAGCAAGTATTCTTGCTCTGAGGAAAGCTGAGGTCTTATTTGTCTCATCCAGCAGTAGTTACTTTGTGTGAGCCTTCTCAGTTCTCTGTAAAAGTAAATGAGCTGATGGTATCGGGTCACTACACCCGGGTACTGGTTTTTGGATGTGGTTTATCTTGGCAACCCAACTGTATCATTCATGGCATGTTGCTGAAATGTAATTAGGGTGTGTGGTTCCCACTCCCTTGTTTGAGGGTGGGAAAAGGCAAGTTGGCTTTGTAGCCCTTGTTCATGGCTCCACAGAGGAATCTCTTTTGTTTCTGCTTTGTCCCCTCTGTTTTAGGGAAAAACCTCAGTGGAGAAAGAAACATGCCTCATAGTTGCAAATGGGTAACAGAATCAACTACCCGAGTGCTTGCAGATTGAGAATCCCCCAAGAATTCAACATATACTAGTACACTGTTTTCATTCTGTGCTGGGCTGCTGAGGATAAATCTTCCAATGAATCTTCTGTAAGAAATATGTTTAGGAGATAGGAAAAATAATAGTGATGGTGAAGAGTAGTTTTCTAGCCATTTGAACTGTCTGAAATGAAGAGTAAGACATTTTCACATATTTTTCATGTTTTTGCATTCTGTAAGCTTTCTTGAGAGGAAGAGGCACAGCAGCACTAAGTGTTGGTTACAGCCTCTGTAGAGTTCATGTTCATGAAGACATATGTGATGATATAGTTTCTAAGATCAGTTCTCAGTCAAACACGTAAATGAATACTTAAAACATGGAAAATGCTTAATGTGTTACAAGTGCTTTGCAGAGTCATGCACAGGACTGAGAAACTGGTATGATGAAACTTCAGGATGTGAAAATTGCAAATAATCTAACATCCTCAGATGAAGTTACATAGGCACAGCTGGTGTTTATGATTTTGTTGGAAATATTTCCTTGGTTACTTGTATCACTCTTTACATCAGTTAATGCTCTATACTAATAGGTAAAGAAAACTTAAAGTACAGATATTAACATGTTTATCACTATAATCATGTGGTAGTTTATAGAGTACATATATAGAGTACATCACTGAAATATAACCATTGTGTGGATGTAGCTGTTGCTCTTTAAAATTCTCAGGTGAAATAGACAAAGAAATGAAATGACATGTCAGTAACATTTGTTACTGCAGTAAATAAGTTACACAAATGTAATTAAATGCATCTCTAATAAGTTAAGTCTTATCTTTATCTTCCAGGAATAGAAATGGTCACGTTGACTTGAGAAACCTGTTGCTTACCCTAGATGTAGGCAATTCTAGAACAAAGATAGGAGGTTGTTGTGAAGATAAGCAATACATTTTTAATTAAGGTATGCTAATTCGAAGGCATACTTCTACCTGTAATGAGCATGGCAGTATAATAATGACAAGAATATTATAAGATTATGTGTAAACTGTCTAAATAGATCTGCTCATCCATTTTACTGAATGGATTATAGGCTGAATTGTCTTCTATAATTTAATGTATTCCTGTCTGTTTTTTTTTCCTAAAAAGGAGATGTAAATATTTAGGTTATGAAAAACTCTTTAAAGAAATTTGGAAGCAAGATCCATGTTGTTATTACTTTCCATTGTGCATGATGGCTAGTAAATTTTGCAGGAGTGATTATGTGCATAATAAACACACATTATTTCCTTAGAACACATTTTCTACAAGAGCTGATATGGAAATATGTTTAGAGTAATATGCCAATTCTCGGATATTGTTTCCTACTCCCCCTCCCCCCAAAAACAGTTGTTGAAAATAGTAAAACAATGTCTACATAGTTGTGTTTTGTCCTTCTTCTTGCCATTTTTAATTTGTTTCCTTTAAGATGAGTTGGTTTTGTTTACAAGTTTCCTTGACCATGGATGTTCAAAGGACCTTCCAAAATCATACCAACATCACCTCTGTGTATAAATATTTAGTTTTTAAAGTAGTGCTGCTTCTCTGTAAGTGGAGTAGCCGAGGTCATAAATTTGAAGTACAGTGCTAAAACTTTGCCCCTGTAAGAAGAGAAGATGCTGTTACCTTCCCATGCCATGCCATTACACAGAATCACACACAGAATCACACAGAATTTCTAGGTTGGAAGAGACCTCAAGATCATCGAGTCCAACCTCTAACCTAACACTAACAGTCCCCATTAAACCATATCCCTAAGCTCTACATCTAAACGTCTTTTGAAGACTTCCAGGGATGGTGACTCCACCACCTCCCTGGGCAGCCCGTTCCAGGTGAGCTGTCCTTGGGTAAAGCTGTCTAACAAAAATGTTGTTCCTCCAATTTACCTGTCAGATGCATAGTGACCATGACTGACTGTTAAGCTGTTGACAGCTGTCCTGTGGGTTCTCTCTCATCCCTCTTGCCCCAAGGTATTGATGCAAGTTTCTGCCATGGGACTTGGTTGAGATTAAGTCTGTTCCTGGTTCAGAAGTGATACAAGTGCTACTGTAAATAATTTGAGTTTTGAAAGAGTGATGGGGCTGTGATTGACACCACTGATAGGTGAGAGATGAAAGGATGAAGTAGAAGTTGGATTAATAGATGGATATGGCAAGAGTGGAGGTATTGGAGAGGTTGGTGGGAACAGAATCCAAGTATTGTCATGTGAAAACTTATGGAAGTGATTACAAAGTGAAGTGGGCTATAACCATTAGGATTCTGAAGGGGTGATTTATTGGAGAAAGAAAACTTATTCACCACAATATTGATAATTCATACGAGAAAATTTGAGATGTCCTGCTGCTGAAGTTTGAAGGCACTGGAGAAAGAAAACAATTTTTTTTTTCCTCATATATTTTCTGGAGTGTTAGAACAACTTGGGAAGATTAATATGACAGTAGGAAACATTTTTGAAAACTTATTTGGGTGTTAAAAAAATTTAGAATGAGAATGTTTAGTGATTTGTGCATGCCTATATTGTAAATGATTTTGAATAACAGTAACAGAGTGGAAGAATTTTCAAAATGGCAGAATGTTTACATTGAGAATAATGGTAAGTATATGTGCTGGTATAGAGCATTTATCTGTTGGGGGTGGAAAGGAATATGGAGGGGGTACAGAAGAAAGTGTATAGGCAATTTGGGGTGTTTTGGCTTAGCTGGCTTAGAATCTGCATGCTGTCTTCAGGCATAATGTGCTTTGATACTATTTTACTGGAGTCATTACAGAGTGACTGTACTTTTAAGTATACCATATGTTTTTTTGATGAATTTTTGTTAAGTTGATATTAAGTAGTGAGCTTACTGAAAATGGTAAACTGATTGGTAGACTACGAAGAGACTTTTAAACTCTTGGTTATAGCTGCTTAAATAACTCTGTTCTTTCTGAAAGGAGCCTGGAATGGCAGTTCATAATGCTTCATCTACTACATTATCCTTGTCTCAGAAGAGAAGATTTCACAGTATGAAATGTGGACCATCTGGTAAGTTAAAGTTTTTACATGAAACAAGTTCAATGCATCTTCTGCATGATTTAATTACTCCTATGAAGAAAAACTAACAAATCTAATACAGGCCTCTGCATAACCGGGCTCCACCTTGATTGGTCTCAAAAGACTACAGAAGTATGGTCATTTATCATGAGGTTTGACCAGATTTATGTTAATATGTGATTCTGGTTTGATCATTTAAAAGGCTGTCTGTAGTTGCTGTGTTTTCTGACAAAGCTTCTAGCAGGGCAATCTGCTCTTGTACTGACATACCTAAAAGAGTGGTTTGCTGCCTAGGTGCTGTAAAATCACTTGTCTTGTGTCTGTTGCCTGCTCTGATGTTTTTTGTTATATTTTAGCTGATGTAATCTATGGGTGTTTTTTGTGTGTGCAGTCCATAGGTTAGCAGGATGAGGTCCTCTAAGCCACCAGGTGGTGGGCACTTGAATTTGCATCTTTGCTTGTTTGGTTCATTTTATTTTCAGCAGTAAAGTGGACAGGCTTAAATATCTCTGCTCAGGGGTAAATATCCGCTTTGTTAGCTCTTCAGTAGAGCTTTTTTCATGCTTGTCCTGCACAAAGGAGAAAGATGATTCACAGCAATTCAGAGTAGTTTAGTAGTTTTCTTTAGTTGAGTAACCTCAGGTTTCTCTTCAGCAATCCTGGTAGGTTGTACTGGATGTAGAACCTACCTAGTAGTGTATCATCTGGATTTGCATCTGCAGGTTTTATAGTGCAAAATGCTATGAAGACTGGATGGACTGGATTCTTACCAGTTGTGATTAGGGTTGTCATCTCTAAAAGCTTCAATATCTGTCCTTATTAAATACTGTTCTCAGAAGTTTTTGTGAAGCATGTATTAGAATGTAGGAGAATAATAGAATGGCTTAAAGAAGGATAATCTCATTTGAATAAGGATGGAACCTTTGAATGGAACTGTGGAACCTCTATAGTCAATGAGCAAATAGTGCATCTACATGCATCTTCTATGATAAAATTGCTCTAAAAATGCAGCCTTCTACACTAGTAAAACTCCCTCTGCCTTTGATTTGCACCACCTTGTTGACCACAAAGTAGCTTTTTCCTTTTCTCTGTTAAGTTCTTGTTTACTTCTTTGTTTTTGTTTTCAAAGCAAATAAAGCAGCTTCCAAAGAGGTGTGCGAATAATGTCGAGATGTGTTACTATAATTGAATAAGTGTAGAATTACTTGGTTTGTTGTAATCACTTAAGTAGACCTAATATTTAAGCAAGTAAAGAACAAATCTAAAAAATGATAATGAAAAGAGTAGCAAGTATTTCATGCTAAATCATCATGTCTGAGCTTTTAAAGGAAGATGTTATGACCAAAAAAAAAAAAATGTTTTGTTGCCCTCTGTAAATTCAATAGAATGAACTTTGTCTTCTGTCCAACATATTTCTATGGGTCCAAATATTTCATAAAGACTTTGTTTCTGATGTCCTTGCTTTGGCAATAAAATGTTAAGCATGCTTTAAAAACTGATGATTGTCCATAATTGCAGGCAAAGAAAATCAGGATTATTACGCTTGATAGTCTTCTGAGTGTACATATTTCACTGTGAACTTTTAAAATCCAAGTAAATTCTCTGTTGCATGTTTGTGAAAAGCATGTACGAAAAACTGAACCCAAGACCTATGCATTCTACTTTCTTGAAATAATTTTGATAAAGTGTTCTAAATGCTTAGAACAGTAGTTTAATCTTGGTTCTCCCAGTTTGAAGAGAGATGCAAGCTGCTATAGCTTTGTCCATGGACTGGTATTTGCACCATTTTGGAGATATATGAAATAGCCAAGCTTTTTTATTTTTTTTTTCCCTTTTTAAACCAGCAAGGTAAGTTACCATCTTTCTCTAGTTTTGTGATGGCTCTGAAAATCAGTCTGCAGCATACTTGGAAAACTCATTGCCAGAGTCTTATTTAATCCTGTTGGAGTCACTCTTTGTTACATTACCTTTGTTCTTGCTTCCTTCAACTGTCTGTGTAGATAAAGCTATGTTTCGTATGAACTTCTTGTATGATGGGTACACGATTGATTATACGCTGTCTCTTTACTATTGTGTTCTATTAGCCAAATATGGGCAATTTAGGAAGTAGTCTAATGTTTTTTTTGTCAATGGAACAAAAAAAATTGTATAGTATGAGTTAATATCAAGAGATAAATGGTTAGTTTCTTGTACCCAAAGAATATGGGATTAGTGTTCTCAAATGTTAATTACAATAATTGACAGTGCTTAACACGCAGCTTGCATAGCAGCTAAAGCTGGAACTACCTTCCATATGAATCTGTTTTTCATCCTAAGTGAAACAAACCAAACCACAACAAACAAGCACCACAAAAACAAGAAAACCCTATGAAGGCATTGGGAAGAACACAAATTATTTCTGGAGTAACTTTGAAACTACTGCTGAAAATTCCCAATGAGTTAAATGCTGCAAATGTTCTTGTGTTGAAATGCTGCAGGAGGCATGAGTCTTTAACGTTGAAGGTCACCATTTCTGTAGAAGATGCTTGTTCCATATGTGTGCTCCAAAACCGATGTCAAGAGTTGTAATGCAGCTAACTGGAAGGCTCTGAGTAAAAGATGAAAATTACATCCTACGCAATCACCTCAGAATCTTGAAGAAAACTGTACTTCCTAGTGTAATGAGATCTTTGTCCTCATTCCAAGGCTGCATTGCATCCTACGGAAGCCCATATGCTTCAGGAAACTTGTGCCATTACTGGTAGATGCTTTCAAAGACTGTTTTGTTGAAGGATAAAAGATACTGCATGAAAGAGTTCCCCATAGCCATAAGCACCTGAAAGTATTCTAGAGAAAGTGTGCAGTGGAAATTATGCAGTTACGAAATACGAAGTTTCAAGAATATTGACTGCTAAACTACTTGATTCTAAGCATGCCTTCTATTTTTCTCTATATGAGATTAGGTCTTAGTTGATGCTTCTTTTGATCTCAACCTGCTGGTGGTTTTTTTTTTTTTTTGGTCCATTCTAGTTCTCTACAGTTGCATAAGAATTTTTAAAAGTCATATTTCTAAGGATCCCCAAAACTGTACAGTCTTTGTCTAGACAATTTCTACAAGTGACTCTGAAGAGGTATTAAGCTATCTTTGGACCGATGCTTGTTAACAGGCAGACTTAGAAGAACGTGAAGGAACAGCCTGGACCTTTTACCATACCTAGCTTAAGTAAAACTTGTTCATTTTGAGATCTCCTCCAAATAAATGTTCCATACTTGAATTTTTTGATTGTAGTGAAGCTGATTTGCATTAAACAGTTTTCATGCCATGTCTTAAAAATAACAGTAACAAGCACTTGCTCATGTTGGAATTCTGCTTTCTAATGTGTGGTGCTCTTTTTTTTTTTTTTTTTTTTTTGGGGGGGGGGGCAGACAAATGAAGGTCCACAGCAATCAAGAACTTAAGAATCAAGAATATAGTGATGATAATGGTGTATTGTGGTGAGGTCAAAATTTGAATGGTAGGAATCCAGTTGCTCTGTCATAGTTAAAAATAAAGCATTTTAAAGTTGATTTTCTTGCTAATGTGCATGTCAGACATTTTCTTGAATGTTTTGGCTTGCTTTTACATTTGTACAAGCTTTAAGTTGCATGTCTCCTTGAGTTAGTATCTTATCTTTTGTGTGAGATACAGATACCTTTCTTTGCAGATATAAAGATATCTGCAGTGTTCTGAGAAGAGAGCTATTCTTTATTGGATGAATCCCACTTCATGCCAAAAGGCTTTACATAGTATAAATTACGTTCAGCTGTCCTTTTCCTCTCCATAACTGTGTTAGTAAATCAGAAGAACTAACCTTGAGTGAGAAAACCCGGACTTATAATTGGTTGGCAACCAAAGTGTACTCATCAGAGCAACAGTACTGTAAGAAGCTATAATAAACTAACTGGGCGTAATACCATATATACACAGCCACAAAAGAAATGGTCTCTATAATAATAATGCAAAGTAAATGCTTATTTTGACAAAGATGGAAGTTGTCTTTGATCAGTTACCATATAAAATCAGCAGAACTTGTGATCAGAGCCTAGGTGAAGAACCCTTCAGAAGCCAGCCAGAGTTGAGTGGGATTATGCAATATTTCAAAATGGATTTTAGAATTTACTGTTGTCAGGTCTGTGATGCCATTCAAGGAGCTCCTTTTAGAGAGCATGAGCAGTCACCTCTGAAGCTTGGACACTGATCTCCAGGAAACACAGTGCAAACAGGCTGAATTACAGTCTCACTTCTCTTTGAGACTAATTGCTTGACATTTGAAACAATAAGAAGTGGGATGAACTAAAAGAAGAGACCCAGGTACTCAAGGTACTAAAGTGACCTTATTTCACATACTGAATGGGGATGCAGCCTGTTCAGTAGTTATGAGACCGTTGGAGTATTTAAGGAATGAGAAGAGCAGATAAGAGCTCAGACCTTTAAAAGATGATTCTTCATCTTCACCCTGATCAATAAAGGACTTTACGACACCATCCTTATGCTGATGATGGCCTATTCTATCAGGGTGACCTGGAGGTTGTAGTGGCCTCATTGGTTAGAAATTGCCCTGTTGCTTGGAATAGAATCCTATTATTGGGGCTTACTGCTTTATGCTAGACCAGTCTCACTGATTTTCAGATTCCAACCCAATGAACTCAACTAGCATAATATCAACGGAGAAAAGAGGAGCTAAAGACTCGATAGCAGTGATTTTCCAGTAAACCAAGGATACAAAAATCTTCTGTAACCTCCCCTATTTTTAACATTGGCTTAAGCTTGATGTTTACTACCTTTCTGCAAGTGGTACAATGCTTTTCCTCTCCTTATAAGAGAGATGTCTACTTGTGATAGAAAGATCATATGGGTGATCTTATTTAGGGAGCTTATTTTCCTTTAATGACAAAGACCTAAGTGAGCCCTTTGTTATGGGATGTTTATTGCTGATAGAAATACTCCCTCAGGTATGTTAATTGAGCAGAAATGGATGCACCCAGTTCCTGATTAAAGGAGGCTACACTGTTTGTAGCAGCAAGATCAGTGGATATGATTGGAATCAACACTGTTTCTGTTATTACCTGCTAAAGAATTACTCATCTTTGTAGACAGAACCCTTCCATGATGTGGAAAGAAAGATACTCTGCAGTGATGTAAAAAGGGATATAAGTAGATACAACAGCTATATTTATCATGTTTTTAGAATTGTACATACACAGATAGAAGATGACTTCATAAGGAAAAAAAAATGCTCCTACTGAGTTATTTGATTTCTAATTTGGATTTGAATAACTCTCTTTTCCTCTTTGAAAGAGAGCATGAGCCATCCTTCTTGGTTACAGCAAACATCTCCACATCAGCTGACTGTATGCACAATTGAAATAAGTGTAGCTTGAAGCAGGTTACCTGAGCCGTGCTTAAAGGGGAATCATTCAACCTGAAACATCAAAAGGGGGCTAACTTCGTCTACAGCTAAGAGGAACATGACTTGCAGTCTAATGGCAGATTATTGTAGCTGAACAGGCACTAGGGCATAATCTTAGAGAAGCAAAGAACAGAGACCTGAGCTCTGATTACACAGGTCTCACAACACTCTAGATGAAAGAGATCAATGTCTGCCTTTCTTGACAAGAGGAGTAAGGCTCTTGCATTAGTGACAAGATTGGTCACTGTGAGTATGTAAATGAGATGGCTCAGTCAGAGTAAGCAGGGACTTTTATACACGGTGCTTGCATTATTTTTTTTTTTAACTGAGCTCACACTGGCCAGGTGGGGAGGAGGTTGCAGCAGGATTGTTGAAAACAAAGGAATCAAAATTAATCATTTGGATATCTAAAAAGTCTTCATATGAAAGTTATTGGATTTATGTTTTTGCAAATAAAAACGGTTGTAGGAAATACTGAAAATAAAATCCTGTACTGGCAAATTGTGGCAGACTTAGTAAGAAAGAATTCTGTAAGGTTGAAACTGAAGATGATAATATGTAGAAACATTTAGCCTGAAGTAGATGGGCATGAAAGATATATTATTTTCTTTTTACTTAATGAAGTAAGTTTCTTGCAGTCTTCCTCGTTTTAGCATTACAACCATCTGTGAGCACACAGTCTTTCTTCTAAGTTTCCAGGATCTCACAAAGCAGAAGAAACTTTAAACATGACCTTTTTCCCCAAGAAATTTCTGCACTTGTAATACTTCTGTAAAATAGCTGATAATGAAATTTGAGGTAGCCTTGCAAAATGTTTTAGTAGCTTTGAGTTCATAAATACTGACAAGTTAAGGTGTGAATTAGATGTTGGGTGTGCAATTACACGGTGTGTACATCTCAAAGTGATTTGTGTGTGGTAAATCCATACACAAATCATGGGAGTTTTTAAAGATGCATTTGAAAGTCTTGTGCAAGCTAAATTAGGGGCTTAAAATGAAAAGCAAGATCGTTCATAACATTTTTTTCCTGTTTTCATTAAAAATAAATTACAGTTCTGATTGTTGTTAGAGGTTTGGTTGCTCTCACAGGGTACTATTCATATGCATCTTGCTTTCAGATTTATTTACACCTACTCACTGGCTACTGTAATGGTGTCTCTACTCAAGTTCTCTAATGCTGGCGTGACAAACTAAATATTTGCTATAAAATATGTTGATAGGAAAATGATATTGTTAATCCATCAAGAAAATGAGATTTCTACAAAAGGACAGAAGAAGTAGGGAGGAAAAGCCACTTTGATTTATATTGTTCTTGCTGAGGTGGGGAATTCAGCATCCATTCAATAGCAGTAGGATGTCAGTGTTCAGCTCTTGCCTTGATTGAAAGTATTTGTTACCTTACAATCAGCTTATGGAAAAACATGTCAACCGTTCTATATAGTAGCTTAGAATCTACTTTTGATGTTTGTATATTTAGTGAAAGACAAAACTGAGAATAAAACTTAAAGGTGTGGTGACCCATGCAATCATAAAACAGTGTTCTTTATTCTAGCAGGCTTTTCTCCTAATTCTGTTTAAATTTTGTAGTGTTTGTCAGAAGTGGAGCTTGGATGAGTTTGCCTGCACCAACAAAGCTTTAAACTCTATTTAGTATAGCTTTCTCAAAACCCTGAAGGTAACGTTAGGCCTTCTTTCTACACCTTTGTTGATTAAACATTCCTTAAGTCAGTGTTTTACTGAAGTGGAAGGTCCTTTTCTGTAAATTCTGTTTTTCAGGACATCATTTATACAATTCACATCTGAGATTATTTTTAAGAATACTGTATTTCTAATGCCAAATAAAATAAAAAGGATGAAACTTCATTTTTTTTTCCTGAAATATTTATTAACTTGTGTGCTTAGTTCTTGTCCTTAAATATTAGTATATTTATTTTACAAATTAAGAAGGACTATAGTATTCATCATTTCAGTTCAATTCAATTCAATCATTTCATCACCACATCTGAACTTGGTAGCAAGAAGCTTGTTTCTGCTTGTGTGCACCTGTCCTTGCACTGTGAAAACTTGACTTGGCTGACTTGTGGCAATCTTCCTGGGTAAAGAAAAAAAAATGTATACCTTACCCCCTTGTACCACCTTCGCTGCAATAAAACAGTTATCTGTCTCTCTCTCCACTCACACCTGCCATTGCAACTCAAAGTTTACTCTCTGTACAGCAGTTTCTCTGTAATATAAGATTTTTCTTCTATTTTCTTAAAAGTTTGTGTCTAATAAAATTAGAAACAAGTACAGGCATGTGCATTTATGGAGAGTGTTTGTGGTTAGTGTACATAAAAGCTGCAACCTGGAGAGAGGGCAGACAGTTGAAAGATGAGATGTGGACATCTGTGTTTCTAGGGTAGCATGCTCTTATTCCAGTAGAGTTTACCCATGCAACGTTTGCAGCATTCTTTTATGTAGGGCTATAAGCACCATGCTGTTTTGTTTTGTGATATCTATTGATTTTATTTATTAACTAAATAAATGGACTAAAAGTATGTCAAACTAACTAAAAGGTATCATAGCAAGGCTAGCACAGCATTTAAATTCTAAGCTAACAGCTGGCATTCTGGGAGTTAAAATCAGTAGCTGAACTGTGTCTTAAGAATGAAGATTATCATTTATTTTTAATGTGCCTTGGCTTTCCACTCAGGTTCATTTACATGTTTTAATGGAGGTGAGTGTGTCTACAGAGAACTCTGCAACTGCAGTCGATTTAATGCAAGTGGACCAAGATGTCAGACAGGTGTGTAGAAAGAAAAGAGCGGGCCTCTGGGATTGCATGCAGGTTCCAACAGCTACGAGAATGACTACCTTTTCCTAACTGTTACTTCTTCCTCCACTACTTTTCCTACCTTCTCTTCTCTGTGATGATACATCACGGTATAGCTACATCGCAACTACAGATTAAATCTAAAAACCAGCAGTACTTGTCAAGTGACTCTCCTTTTGTTAGTTTATAACACAGGTGCCGAAAGAGATCATATATGCAGAACATGGGGTCAATATCATTTTGAAACTTTTGATGGACTGTATTACTATTTTTCTGGGAAATCTACATATGCACTTGTGAGACATACTGAATTAGATGAACAGAGTTTTTCTATACAGGTAAGGGACTACACTTCTACATCCCCTTTTACTGTTATTGAACATGCAAATAATGCAATAATTTTAGGAGATTAAGCATAATTTGAGATGATAGTCTGGCGGTCTGGAATGTAACCTATATCCAATTCTAAAGTAATATATGCTACCAATTAATTTTTCACAAAATATAAATAGCTGGTAGAAAACTGTCGTGTACTTTCTAAACCTGCTGCTGCTGTGAAAAGACTGCTCCAAAAGGATGGAAAATTTTACTCATGTTTTTGGGAAGAGTAGGGTTATTTGTCCACATGCTGAGGGTGGGATTGTGAGTATTAGTTGTGTAGCAGGTGGCTTATGAATAATTTAATTACATATTAACTTTGACACTAATAATTTTATTTGACAGGTGAATAATGATCCTGAATGTCATTCTTCTCCTTATTCTTGCAAGCGGTCCATTAGTTTATTCTTTTCTGGAGATGAACAAATAAAGATGAGCAGTGAAGTGACCTATAAAGGATTTGGGTAATCATACTTGTGTTTCCGAGGCTGTAATGATAGAATTAATATATACAGTTTTGACAACAGAGATATAAACAAGGTGACTTATTTGTTGGTAGCTTAAAAACTTTCCAGACTACAGCTGTAATAAGCACTCCTCATCTACAGAGTAGATGGAAGTCAATATCTAAATAAGCAGCATGCATTATCAAGAAATACAACTATTGACATTCACCTTTTGATTTTTTTGGCTCTTACTTGCAACTTCATCGCTTTTAGTTCAATTACTCAGTATTTACATTAGTGGTTTTAAGATGTATAAAGAAATCATTAAATTGCCAAGTAACATTTTTAACAGTGTTATTGCTTCATTAAAAGTTGTTCGTTGTTTGCTTTTTGATTCTGTCCTGTTTCACAGACTACGGTTACCTTACATTATTGGAAATTTACACATCCAGAAACTAGCTGGGTATTTTCTAGTCAGGCACCAATATGCCTTTACTCTGGCTTGGGACGGTACATCTGCAGTGTATATCAAAATGGCACCAGAGTACCTGGGCAAAACACATGGACTGTGTGGAAACAATAATGCTGTCCTGCATGATGATCTTGAAACTAGTTATGGTGAGTATTTAAACTAATCCGTGTTGTGTAATACCATGTGTTTTGTTTGTTTGTTTTTCCTCAGGTGTACTATATGTTATTTTACTTGGATTTTACTTGCAATGCTAATTGAATTTAATACTTGGAATTTTTGAAATGAAAAATATGATATGGAAATACTTCTGTTAGATGATAACGTTGATGAAGAGGGCTGGTATCAATATGGATGGGGCTCCTGAGGGGGTCATCTTTAAAGCATGCTAATAGCTGGGTACTCTGTTACTTACAGTGGTATTTGTACTTCAAATTGCTGGTACCTAAAAGATAAAATTCTACTTTTAAATGTTCATTGCCCTCTAAGCAATTCTATGTAGTAGCCTGTGGAAGCCTATGATGCTACTAGTGGAAAAAAAATGAATAATTTTAATTAGTAATTCAGTGAAGACTGCCAAATCCCTTTTTGATCTGGCATTTCATTTATGTTAATGCTTTCAGAAGTGACCAGTGATTCTTGGAGTCCCAGTGCCTTGGATGCCAACCTCAGATACTTACAAGAGTCTTGGCTTTCAAAAAATTCTGAGTGATGACCTCTATAAAATTAAAAAGAACCAGAGGATGAAATCAGGCCCCTTAAAATGTGTCTCAAATGAGGCAATAAAAACTTCTGGAAATGATTGCTTTGGAATGCTTAACTCTTTGTTCTTGCTCTTTAAAATTAGAGTGTTTCTATAGAGTACTATTTTAAAGCTTAAAGTACAATATATGGCAGGTTTCCTTTGTTTAAGCATGCCACTCAATTTTATAAAGTATCAGCCCTGCACTAGGATCAGCCTTAGCTCTACTGAATAGCTTACTCACTATAACAAACGCTGAAATTAATACCGAGATCAATAGCTTGTTGTGCTCATTGCCATCAGACTTTTCACTACCCTCTCACCCTTCTGAGGGTATCTCAGTTGCATAAAGCTGTAACTGGAGCACAAGTAGATGCACTGCATACTGCCTTTATCCAACTGTCTTGGGGAGCAGCAGTAACACAGAAAAGGCATGATAGCATTCATGGGTAATCTGAATACTAATCAATGTCACCACATCTCTGTGATGGATAATACTTTTTTTTTTTGTTTTGTTTTTTAATCTTTTTTAAAGCTAGCATAGCCATTTCTACTCGTATAAAAAGGTCACACCTTTTATTTGGTTAATATAGTTCATTATATTGTACCCTTGCAGTGACCTAGGGATACCTCATTATTCTTGGGGCTTTATAGGCTATCTATCAAAAGTTCCATATAAAGGAGCAGCATAGAACTGTGCATATACAGGCTATTATTTTCTTTCCTTTCTTTCGTTCAAGGACTACAACACACATAGTCCAACTTCCTAAAGCCTTTTTTTTTTTTTTTTGCCAGATCATGTGACTTGAGTTTGCTTCTTTCTGCTGTTCTAAAACCTTCTCCTATATTTACTTCAAAAGGATTTTCTGTCTTAAAAGACCAAATCATCTTCAGAATTGCACCTGATTCATTTAGTTTTAGATAGGGTTTGGCTTTCTCTGCTTAAGAGATGTGTTATGATTATCAATATATTTTCCTGGTAAAGCCTATAGAAATATTGTTTTGCCAAATCACTGTGTTGACTGTATGTGTGTCTTGTTTAGGAAAACTGACAGATGATGTAACAGAGTTTGTAGAGAGTTGGCAGGAAAATCCTCCACAAGGAACACCCAGTTGGGATAACTCTTTTCTCAGTGAACCACCCTGCCTGACACAAAGCCATGAATCTTTACAGGTTTGGATCTGCACAAAAGGATTATTACAGCATTCTTATTAGATTAGATTCTTATTAGAACCAGAATTTGACTTAGTACTTTGAAGAAGGAGACTGGAAATATTCTCAGTTCTCCTTTGGAGAGTTGAATTGAGGTGGCTGCTGTAACAGTAATTTATCTTGTTCCCTCTTTCCTCCCCAAGTAGTTTTCTGTATGAGTTCATAATTTAATTTTTTGATGTTTTGGAGATTTTTTTTTGATGTTTTTGGAGATGCTTTCTGGATAGCAGCCAAAAGAAGTGTTTGAATCTGGGGTTAAATGAGTGAAAAGTTATCAAGTTAGGAATTCATTATAGAGCTGGTTCCCTACTGCTTCCTCTTAGGAAGGATAGGAAGAAGTAGGCACCCAAAACCAGAATGAGAGCATGTTTTATTTACTAGTGTTCAAAAAAATATTTTTGTTACATTAGTCTGCCATATCAAAGTAGTTTTACTTGTAAGTAATATTTTGAAGTTACAACCCTGAAATGAAATGCTTTGAAGCTAAAGCTGATGCAAGATCTCTGTTGCCTTTTACTACGTGATTTAACTAAAATAAAGACTATTTCAGGTCATCTAGGGCTTAGCTGCAACACTGTCTGCCCTTTTTTTAGGAAGGGATATTTTAGTATCATTGGCACAACCTTGAATAAAGGATTCAGTGTTAAGATTACTCTGTCATGGACAGTAATATGTTGCTAGTCACTGCTTCTAGTTGATGAATTCCTAGCCATATCCTGAGAGGTGTCTGTTCTGTTTTTGCAATGATTTACTTTTTGCTTAGATTTACTTTTTGAAAGCATGTTCACAACAGCAATCTCTTTAATTACAGAGGGCATACACTCTGTGTAATATTCTGTTACATCCTCCATTTGAACAATGTCATGAATATGTGAGTCCTCTTCCATTTATGGCAAGCTGCACCAGTGATCTTTGCATGTAAGTGAATGTTTTTGAGTAATTCCAAAGCTGTTAGAATAAACATTCTCCTTAACATGTATAATTCATTCTCATGATAAAGGAAAGTGATGTGATTCTTTTTCTGCATGCCAGCTGATATCTAAAATTCCCGTAATAATGTAGAATGCCTTGATTTTCACTCATTTTAGTTTTACTGGCAGAGACTTCTGTGGAGTTACTTGTTTTCCTTAGTGTAAGGATGACCAAAACCAGGCTCAGCTGTTTTCATAATAACGTTGTCAGTTTACATTCCTTTGAATATGACACCAGTTTTCATGCTGAATGTGTGACATCATTAGTGTTTCTAATCTTAATGGAAAGTAGTAGTGAATAGATGAATTGGGCATCCGTAAGCAGTATACAGTAACATAACAAAAATAAGAAATGGATTATCTGCATGCACAGAAACTATTTGAATATATGCTATCATTTCACAATCTGGAATAATGCTTGTCAAAGTAGTTTTGACCGTCTAACAGGCAGGTCTGAAAAAAAATAATTCAATTTCCTGTACCATGATGTGGAAATCTTATGCTTTCTTCTTGCGAGTCTTCTGTTGGATTCTACTCCTCTTGTAAAAATCAAGATCTCTATGAAAATCTCTTTACATTGATGCATCACTGGTTTTCATGTTTTTATTCAGGAAATTAGCATCAGATTTCAAATATATAGATCAGCTGTCTTCAAGTGTCGCAGAATGTCGTATCCATTTCAGGCTTTTAAGCTATTCAAGCAACACAGTACATTAAAATATTATTAACATAAATACAAACAATGTGATGTATGTAGTGCAGAAGCATTCATGAGGTTATGACTGCATTTTTGAATGTAGGGAGAAAATAATATGTAATTTTTTATTTGTGTAAGGTCAGCAGTTGATAATGCAACTTGGTGTCGAGCATTAACTGAATATGCCAGAGCATGTGCCCAAGCAGGAAAGCCACTGCAGGGATGGCGAAAGCACTTTCAGCAGTGTGGTATGCAGACACTTTCGTATTTGGAAATACTGCTTAGTGGTTGTATTTTGAAAAGACTGCTCTTCATAATTTTACTTTGTCCCTCCTCCTATTAAGAACTAGTACAGTTATCAGTAAAAGCATAACTGTGGACTCCAATGCTATGTAAGGCTTAGGATTTTTTTATGTGTGATCTGTGCTGAGTATATCGAACACATTTGAATAAGCTTGGAGATTTGAAGAACCTTCTTACTGAAACATCAGAAATACTTTAAGAATGATTATGATTAACCATCACATTTTTTCATGGAGCTACTCTCTCAAATATTAGCCAAGACTTCATAGATTTCTGACATATAAAATGTATTGTGAGTGTTCAAATATCTATTTGAGTTACAGTTGAAAAAGTCTTCATTTTATAAGTCAGAGAAGGTAATTTTGAAGGAGAGAACCTATTTTGTCCACCAGTCTGGAGACAGAAACAAAATTGATTTGTCATTTGTGACAGGAATATTTTCTGTGTTTCCAAAAATGTTGGTTAATGGAAATTCTATGATTTCTTATGCTGATCTCAGAATTTAAATGGTTTTGCTGTGAGAAAGTTTCCCCACATCTCCCATTATGTAGTTTAAGATTATTACTTCTCGATGCACTTGCACTGGACAGACTATGAATATACTTCTATTCTGTTCGTGTTATGAAACTCATTGTTTCATCATTAGAGACAAAGGATACTCAATTGAGTTACCAAAGAGCAAATATCTAAAATCAACATGTGCAATCTATTTATGACCATAGGCAGCAGCCCAAGAGCTCTATCTTTTTCCTCTGTCTTTTTCTGTTTTGTAGTGATTACCTGTCTTGAACCCTTGACTTATAATGAATGCATCAGCTGTTGCCCTGTTTCATGTCATCAACAATCACAATGTGTTGGCAGTGAGCTTCCCTGCATTGATGGATGCTATTGTCCGGATGGTAACAGTTTTGCTTCTCAAATATGTATTATTTGATTCCATTTAACTTTCTGATAACTTTCCCTCAGGTTTACATATCTACATAGCCTGGCTAGATGAAGGCATTAACAGGAACTCTTTATAAATACAGTGCAAGCAGGGTGTGGATGAATGACCGTGTTTTCCTCAGTAACAAGAGCCTTTTCCTCAATCTAACAAGTAGGAATAGGTTTCAGCAGAGATCTGTATTCTAGCTGTAGAGCTCCGCAGTGCAGTGAAAAACTTGTTATGCTCTGTTGTTAGTTTTACAGAAGAGGGAGCCAGCCTCTTGATTCCCACAGTTGCTGCTTGCTTTTCTTTTCTTTCTTTTTTTTTTTTTTTCTCCTTTGTTTTCCCTGAAGAATGTCTGCAAGGTCAGGTGCTTATGAACTTTTTTGTCTTTTTCCTTTTGTTACTGGCTTCCCTTCGGTAAGTAATCCTATCTGTTCATTCTAGAGAAAATGAGATATCATGGATCTTCAAGTCCTGTCTCTTATACGTACCCTCACAACTTAAAAGTATGATTGTCATTGTCATACATCCCATCGTGTATGGGATAGTAATCTCTTTTAGCTGGAATCATTCAAATATAATAATAGAAAAAAACCACTACTACAGTATAATAAAGACAAACAATGCCTTAAAACATACGAAGAATTGTAAAGGTGTCAAAAAAGAAACAAAGGGTACCCAAATAAAACAGCAGGTTTTATTCAACAGTATTAAACACTAATAATTCATGCTATTATTCACTCAAGCAATTTAGGAACTTGGTCCATGTCATATTTATGTAATATAATCAACATGTGTATTTATTCTACTAAAATTACTTCCAAATACCCTACACTTTTATTACTGGATGTGACCATTTGTTGTGTTCTTTGGTATGCTTGTTAGTTCTCTGTCAGCCATTTGTAAATATTTTTATTTTTTTCTTGATATTTTATTTCTTGTAGGCTTAATTTATGAAAATGAATTGTGTGTCAAGCCTATGGACTGTCCTTGTGACTACCATGGAAGTTTTTTTGCCATAGGCTCTGTGGTTTATGAGGAATGTAATAACTGGTTAGTAATTTTTCTTTTAATGCTGTGGACTTCATCCTTTCATATTGACAAGAGAGAGGTCATTTAAGGCACTTAAAACTGAATGAAGTTGACAAGTCGTTACAGTTTCTACATACAAAAGCTATTGTTCTATAGATATCTTGTTACTAAGACAAATTTAAAGAAACTATAGAGCTGTTAATGGGGAAGAAGATAAAATCATAGATATTACAGAGAATACTGAAATGTTTAGTACTCTTTTCATTTTGAACTCTTCCCCAGAGTAAAAGGAATATGGAATTCAAAACCTTAACAGGAGAATTTATTTGCCTTCTGTTTCTGTCCTCTTTTGTTGTTTTACTTGGACACGAGAGCCTAATATCTTTGACATGAAGTTGCTGTTCTGGGAATTTTTAAGTTAATTTTATACTTCAGAAAGAAAGGTTTGTAGGAAGAGATAATGTCTCTTATTGAATCAATGTAATTGGAGAAAATAGATGCATTTGCAGACCTGCAACCCCTTCTTCAACAGTTTTGTCTTTTTTTTTTTTTTTTTTTTAAAGTAATAATTCAAATGGCATGCCTTTATTCTTCTGAGTATTAAGAATCCTTAAGATTTTACAAGTGTTATCAAGGAGCTAGAAAGAGAAGTGTCAGATGTGTGGGTGAGAGTTCACTCGATATATCTTCATGACAAGCTCTTGCCACAGCTGCTAGATGTTCCAGTGAATGTGATAGCTCTGCTGTGCCATTTTGTCAGACTCTAGACATCTAGTGCTTGCTTCATGGAATAGGAGTCCAGGAAAAATAGCTCAGGAACAGCCATATATGTTTCAAATTAAAATCTAAATAAGAAACCTTTTTGTTTTTATTTCAGCACTTGCATTGGAGGAAAGTGGATTTGTACAAATCTTACGTGTCCAGGTATGTAGAAAAAGTCTCAGATACTTTTTAAATATCTATGAATCTTTATTGGGGTAAAATATTGCAGTTAATATTAACATTTTAAAACTGTATTTTCACTATATAATTTACATTTTTGTTTGCATCTCTATATAAACACATTTACCCACAAAGTAGAGTAAGTATTAAAGTGAACTGAATAGCAAGCATATCTGCCCTTTGATTTAGCTCAGTAATTTGTCTCCCCCTGGGTTGCTGCAACGTCTCTGATAGATGACACTATCTGATTGTTCCTGGCATTCATCTAAGTGTCCTCTGCAGTCTTCACTTGACAACTTACCGATTGCTTTGATATCTTGGCTTGGTGTCACATAAGAACTTGACAAAAGCAAAGATGGGGTACAGTTCCTAACCACTTTCCTAGTACATAGTTATAATGCAAGCACATTTAAAAAAAATTATAGTATGTATCAGAGTGTATGAACTCTACAGCAATATTTTCTTGAGAATGCATAATATCTTTTCTACATATTTAAATCCATTATTTGCTCTATTTTCCAGCTGAATGTTCAGTTTCAGGAGACATTCATTTCATGACCTTTGATGGGCGCAAATACACTTTCCAAGCTACCTGCCAATATATTCTAGCAAAAAGCCGTACATCTGGAGAGTTTACCATATCCTTGCAAAATACTCCTTGTGGACAGGTAAGGCTTAGAACCTTCTTGTTATGTTTGTATCCTGAAGACATGTCTGATAAGCAGAGGGTGAAGATACTTGAGTTGTCTAGCCTGGAGAAAAGAAGGCTCAGAGGCAACCACATTGTATATCATAGCCTGGAGGAAACACAAATAGAAGAGCTGTGAAACAAAGAATAAAAATCGGCAGCTTAAGTTCTGTCAGCTTAAAATTCTCCAAACTTTGCAATGTCCTTGAAGCTTATGAATGTTTGTTTTATATTGAGGTTGTGTCCTCTGCTTACACAGTTGAAAATCAGCAAAACAGGATCCTTAAATAAAAACAAAGCAACAACACTCTAAGCAATTTCTTTTTCAAATGAAAGATGAAGCAACTGACTTCTTGCAGATGCCCTGCCCACAGCCCTACCTTTAGCCTGACGTTTAAGTCTGTCAATGGACAGCAGAGGTCTGAAGCAAATATCTGCTGTACAAATGTGCAAGAATTGTTGTAGGCCTCATTCATTTTTCTGTTAAAAACTACTTACCACCTATCCAAAATAGACAGAAATTTTTCTTTCGGTTTAGTTGTGGTGATCCTTCTGTTGAGGAAAGTGACAATCAAATTAGTTGGATTTATGCAAGTTCTCCTGACACAAAGTATCTCGCAATAACTCTTGCATGGTCTTTGTCCTGACTGAGAGACTTTGTCAAAGCGTTCAGGTGGCTTGCAGGTGGAAAAAAAAATAAGCTTCTTTTGCCTTTTGCTACATATTGGGCTTCATATTTCCCCTATCCTTTAACAAAGTTATCCTGGTCAGTCTGTAGGAAGAGTTTTACAGAGCTTTGAGTGAAGCATTCTGAATGTTACAGCCAGGTGGGTGATCAGAGGCTTATGTGGTTTGTTCCAGGGTTAAATACTGCTAACTCAGTTATCAAATGTGAAAGTGTTGAGAGGGTAGTAAGAGCAGTTCTGTGTGTACTGTAATGCAGGAGTGTGGGGCTTCAGTGCAGCAGTTTGAGTGTCTAACTATCAGATAGCTGGTACCACTTGGCAGAGGAGCTGCTTCACAGTTCCCTAGGCACCATCCCATGTGTTTTTCCCATTTATAAAAATGAATGAATTGAAATGGGAAGCTAAAAGACTTGTAATGCAGAACCTGGTATTTCTTGATGGTTTGAGATTTGTATGCTTTTAAAATTCTTTTAAGTTATCAGTCCCATCTCATTCAAGAAGATTAAAAGCCCAGAAAGAAAATAGCTGAGGAGATTTTTAGCTCTTTGAATCACAAAGAACCCAGTCATCTAGTGCCTTAGAGCTGATGACATAAACAGTCATCAGGCAACAAGTGATTTGAAAACGATGTGAAATTTTGTTTAAGCACTTTTTGGAAGGAGAATTGGTCAAGTGATCAGCACAGCTTAACTTTTTCTGAGTTTCAGGTGACAACCTCACTGGCTTTGTAGTCTGTATGATGAGAAAGTGTTCTGAAGGTATTTTTTTTTCTTGTTGTTGTGCCTTTTTTTTTTTTTTTTAAGTGTCTAGTGAGAGAAATGTCCGTTCCTGTGGAAACACCTGCTGAAAGTTGGCAGGGGCACTGCTGTGAAAGGAGCAGTTCATTGGAACACAGAATAATTGTCAGGTGGCATTCCTCCTTCAGTTTCAGTGTGAAGGAATAATAAAGCTTTTGTCGATAGCATGCAGCAATGTATATCCTATGGCGAGTTGTTCTCTTGGCTCTGGTTTGTGGGTAGGAGCTGGTATGTTTTATTTTTGGCTTCTTAAAAGGTAGGCAAAATTATGAATTTATAGTCACTGCAGCTGAATGATATGCACAGAAATTAAATGAGCTGCAAGAAGATAATCTGCCAGAGCATGGCTTCACAGTGCAGATGTTGTCTTTGCCATCAGTCTAGGAGAGCTGGCTGAGCTGATGAAATAGCTTTGTATTCTTAGAATTCAATATTTTTAAGTTTCATTCTATAATTACAACTGTTGATGAAAGACCATTATTGCATTAGTATTTAGAGACATGGAATTTTTGAATGATTTTTATTCTTCGTTATCCACTGTGTGTAATTGTGTGCCCCTGGTACTTGAAGGACTGACAGATGAACTCTGTTCTCATTCAGCATTTTTGAGCCACCTAGTATTGTTCAGAGATGCTGGCAGCTGTAGTGATTGTTTTCAAGTGGGACAAGATTTGCCCCATGTCATGCAAGTCTCAGTGCAAGTCAGCGGGAGTGTAAATCTTTGAAATGAAAACCTTTATCATCTCAGTTTGGGCTGTCAATGGTGCTAATCACAATATAGTTTTGTTGCTATCTTGACTGTCCAAAGGCAAGGAGTTCTTAAGGAAGACTTGCTCAGTTCCTTTTTTAGTACTGAAGATGCTTGGTATCTTACTATTTGATCAACAGTTGCATCTTCATGGCAGGCAGTGAGACTGAGAAGCACAGCCTCCTGCAGCTCTGCTGGATGTTTCTGGAATGCAGCTCAGGCCTGGAAACTAACCAATGAACAATTTCCAGCAGAAAGACGTAGGTCACTCTTTGAGTGATTTCACATGTGTCTGTATGTGTTTTGATAAATAAGACATTATCAGACATTAAAGATAGATTATAAAGATTAGAGTAAATGAGCTAATAGCATGCCAAAAGTGATGGGGCCTTGTTTTGTCACTATTCTTGAATACCTTTTGAATGGGTACAAGACCTTGTGATGCCAGCTGGAACAGACAAAACAGCAGCTGAGTGCTGTCCCCTGTGCTTTGTGGAAACAGGCAGATTTTGTCTACCCCCAAACCACTAAGTCAATGTAAATAAGCTGATGCCTTTGAATCCAGAACAAAGAGGTAAGAATATAACAGGACTAGCAGAAATTTAGTTTGTGCCTGGAGCAAAGAGAAAGTAAGGGTGGACAACGATTCTGATGTCTTTCAGGATGTAGCAAGGTAAATTACAGCATGCTGAGGTGACATCAAGACATCTCTCAGTCTACTTTGTCTGACAGAGAAGTCTGACAGACTTCTCTGTGACAGAACATTTTTCTCATAAAATTGATGAGTGATTAAATTCATTCTAATAATAATAATAATAAAAACTTCCGATGGACTTCTGTGATTAATAAGCATTCTTTTCCCAGGGGTACTAAGAGCCCAAGTACAGATAATTATTCTGAAAGGTGGAAGTCCTGACCTAGAAACTCTGATAGGAATGGACTGGTGCTAATCATCTCTCTGGCTAGTTGCCATGTTATTTAGTACAGGTGTACTTCTTGTGATACATTGGAAACATCCAGTACTCAATAGGTCTCAGACTTGTGCTGCTTCCCACCTGTGTGGTGTCTACTTGAAGATCACTCCTGTAACATGAAACGTGCAGGAATACTAAGTAGCTTGAGATTTCATTTAGGTACCAGCCAGTTTCAGGACTTGCTTTAGGAATGTTCGTAGGCTGTCTCATAGGCAATTCTGTCTGTTTGCGTGGATGTTTCTCTCTGCTAAAGTTTAGAAATTGTTGGCTGTATTAGGCTTTCATGTCTTGCTTTTATCCTGGCAATTAGCCACCTCCAAAAATAATTTCAGTAGTTTTAGGTCAAAGTACACTTATTCTTGAAGTTAAAATAAATAGCTGAAGGTTTGTTTATAAATAAATAATCTGTTTGTATGCCATCATAGGTACTAAAATTCCTTAGAAATTCGAAAAAAATGCACTAAAATTGTGAATGGAAAAAAATCTATTTTCACACAGAACAAGTATCGTAGTTGACTTCAGTTTTGATGAAAACGCTTAACTTGAATTTGATTCTTGATCTTTAAGCTCTTGTGAAACTTTCTTGTGTAGGAACATTAGCTTCCTTCTGTTTTGAGACCTTAGGACATAAGTCCCAATACTTTGCTTTTAGGATTTCAGTTGACTAGCTGGTTTTGGTAATGCTGACATTTGAGTGTGAATGAAGAAGATGAGCGTAGGTAAGGTATATGAGGTTGATCTAGGATTCTTTTTTTGAATATGTTTCATGCTGACTGAAGTACAATATTCCTTCTCATGGTTTTCCTAAATGATGTTTTTGACTGACTTAGAGAACTAATACGGTGGTAGGAATAAGCAATGGTAATAAAAATAAGAAAGTCAGGCCAGTTGGATACTGTGTTTTGATGCTGCCTTTCTTTAGTTCAGTATTCATCCAGGGAACTAATGAACATGCTCCACAATTCTTCACTAGAAATAATTAACTTAAATGCTCTTTTAAATAATGATTTATAAGATGCTTCTGTCTTCCATTACTGTTTGCCTTTAAAAAACAACAACAAAAAAGTACACCTTAAAGAATCTGTGCATATCAGAACATATTTTAAATTAAGGAGAAGTAGAAATTCACACTTCTGTGCACTGTCATGTGGATAATGCAGCCTTGTTTGTGAGTAGGAACTCACCCTCAGTGGGTCTTGTTTCAGTGGGTCTCATGAATTGCAGGTGTATTTGTACTAAGCTTTGGAAGAGTTTAAATTTCTCTCTCCTAATCCCACTTGAGCAGTGTTAGTAAAGTAGTAGAGTTGTACTTAAATATACTTTTGAAATAATTAAACAAACAAACAAAATTCTGTATCTTAGCTGCAAAGCTCTATGTTTTACCAGTGCACTCTGCTAAGAAACAACATAAAGCTTATAATTTCTAATTTCTCCCTAATAACTTTACATGCACTCTTATTAACATGCATCCTACTTAATCAAATCAAATATGTTTTTAATTGCCTTATTTTGTAGAACCAGGATGGATCATGTATCCAATCAATCAGCATTATTCTTAAACAGGACCCCAAGAGGCAAGTTACTCTGACTCATTCAGGAGATGTTTTGGTTTATGACCAGTACAAAATTAACCTGCCTTATGCAGATGGTAAGGAATAATATATGAGCATATAATGCCTATAAAGCACTGAAGTGGTATTTTAATGCCATGTGTATATGTTGTGATGTCATCAGTGTTGCTAATATACTAAAGCTAAGTGATTTATTGTTAATATTAACATTGTTCATCTTTGACCAAATGTTTCACAGATTACCTGCTGATGTACTTGGTGCTTTGATATTAATTGTTGTGCATAGCTATACTGAGCTAGTGTCTCTTATGTTAAGATTGAATATTTTGTGTTTCTAACAGGGCCAAATGCCATCCTTCACATTTATAAGATTGGTTAGTTCTTTTCGGAGGGGAAATTTTCTCTGATTCCTGACTAATTTCTCTTCCCTTTTTTGTAAAAAACTCGAGTAAATGTAAGTGGAAGGAGCCCTCTCTTACCCTTTGCATGTAATCTGCAGATGTTCAGACAAGAACTTTTTACATTTTTTTTTCTTCACTGAGTTTTTAAGTTTCTCCCTCTGGAAGATTATATCAAGTATTCTACATACGAATATGGGACTGTTCTGTGAAGATCAATGTTAGCTTTACTGAGTGTGATATATGCAAATCACTAGTTTATTTTATGTCCTTTGAGACTTGGCTCTTTGAGAATTCCCAAAAAGGGATTTAATCCAGGAAGAAAATTGCTGCTAGGAGTAGGTTGATTAAAAAGTGAATGAGAATATTATCTGCAATGTCTGCATACTCTTTGGAGCATCTTGGCTTTGTCAAAGAGTTTTATTATCATTAGTTTCTTGTTTTCTGTTTTAAAGTCTGAATCCCATATAATCTTTTGGGATAAATGAACAATTTGGGGAGAATGGGGCTGGAGTAGGACAAAATGTGCTGTATGTAAGAATAACGTTAAAAAAAAAAAGTGATGTGACAAGAAACAAAATGGAAACTACAGACAGGTTTCCTTTGCCCTTCAACAATCTCTGTTCTTATTCACTAGATTTATTTGAAATACGGAAACTCTCCTCTATATTTCTTCAAGTAAAGACAAACATTGGATTACAGATACTGTATGACAGAGAAGGACTAAGGCTTTATCTTCAAGCTGATGGACGGTGGAAGGATGATACTGTTGGCCTTTGTGGAACCTTCAATGGAAATACGGAGGATGACTTTTTGTATGAATAATTCAAAGATTTTTATTTGTCAATACATGAATATTTGCAGTTAGAGTTGTAGATCAAATCTATACTGAAGCTGCATAGGGGGATAACAAAAATACCTTATTTTGAAGTTTGGTGTTAGTGGATTAGATAGTAGGTTATGGTTCGCTAAAAGAAAGTGTGTAAACATGTTTTGTTTAGAGTATTTGAATATAAAAATACAGCGAAATATATACCATTACTGAGGACTAGTTTATCTGATTGTTTTTGTCCAAAAGATGGACTGGCTTATATTAGGAACTTTATCCCCCCTCCCTGAAAGCCTCTGTCTCTGTCCAGCTCCAATTCTCTGCTACAAGCTCTAATCTGCGCTATCCAACAGAGCCTCCATTGTTCGTGCCTGCAGGCCAGCAACAGGAATTGGCTGTTGCCTGAGCCTCACTTGTAATGCAGTGAAAGGTGGTCAGAGCTGCCTGAGCATCGCAATCAATCTTAGAGTTTATGCCCAGCTTCCTAGCAGCACATGTCCTGCAGACACTAAATAAATTGGCCTCCAGAGGATGAAGCAGACTAATGGAAGGGGGAGAAGAAGAATGTGAATTTAGAGCATGACAGAATACTTTGTTAACAACAGGGGAAAAAATAAAAGCAGAAGAAGCAGGAGAGATAGTGTCTCAAAGTTGGAAGTTGTCAGAACTGATAGAAAAATGGCAAAAATTTCCATAATAGATCCAAAAATAAAAAAATAAAATATGTATATAAACAGTTTCTTAAAGTTAAAACGACTTTCCATAGACAGTGTTGTCTTGTGCAACGCATCCACCAATAGTATTACTGGTTTTATGTCTTATAGCATCTTTTATCTAGTGTGTGATACACCATATTTAAGTGCATAGTTTTGATCATTCTCTGAACACAATATTACCGTCCTTTAGTTACTTTCGATCAAAGTCTCTGTGTTCAGTTTCTGCTGCACCTCTGCTTACCCAGGCCTAATGGTATCTAATTGCTTTTGTAGTTATATCTCTGGACCCTTGGATTTCTACCTCCTCCTCTTTCTTACAGGGAGTAGAGAACCTGGGAAGTCAGCTACCAGGAACAGACAGGAAATTGTAGGTAGAGGAGACAGAAGAATAGATCAGGTATCACTTAGGAGGCAGAATTATGAATCAGAAAGTGCAGACTTTGAGGACAAGAGTGTTCCATTTCGCTCTCTTGTGAAAATGGAACTAGGTCTGTTTTGATCCATCCTTTCATACAGAATATCTAACTGGTTCTGAAGTGCATCTTCTCTTTCTTTTCTGGGCCTTTGCCTGGAAGGAGAGAGAGGAGCCCTGAAACATTAGCTGACGGTACGCTGGGGAAAAGTGCAATGGAAGGGGAGCTTCAATCAGCTCTGGTGAGGAAGGTAGTAGAAATGAAACTATTCTGTAAATTCACTGTGTCTTTTGTGACTGACTTCTGTTTTGTAAAAGATCTCCAGTTGGAGTAACTGAAAGCACTCCGCAGCTGTTTGGAAATGCATGGAAAACTTCATCAGCATGCACGCTAGTGCACGATAGCTCACAAATGGATCCATGTGATATTCATCTACAGGCAGGTGGGCAGTGATGGTCAAATATTGTTGACAAATGCATTTCTACTTACTACATCTGTGCTGGGCTTCCTTCTTGGATCGGGAAAAGTAACCACCAGTCCTCCCTGCTGAAAAATGGAGTAATATTTATTTATCTCAATCCCCTAACAAATTATGTAGTGCATTGTTTAAGTATGTTCTGCTACTTGCATAAGCACTCCAAATACCCTGTTTATTTCTAGTTTGCAGTTGCAGTGTGCAAAGCTAGGCATTAAAGGTTGGTAGTACATCTAGTACTGGTGATGCTGCTAGTTAGGATGGAGACTCAAAAGTATTACAGTACTCATTTTTCAAAATACTGAGAAAATGGAACACTCCAGTTGTGTGCTATGGAGGAGAAAAAGTAATAGAACAATATTTATGCTCTGCCAGCCTTTACATTTGGCTGAAAGGGTTTGACTGGGGAAACATGATATAGTGGCTGATGCAATAAAAAACATATCTAGCCATTAAAGACATTCATTAATAATGATGAACTTGGTAGATCATCAGTTATATTCCTCTTAGAATTACCACCACTTGTCATCTTGGACTGTACAGGCTTCTAGACAAGATACAGGGGTAAAATGTTCATTACAGTTTTGACTGTAACTTCAGCTGTGGTAGGAAATCATCATAATTCCTGCTAGGAAATCACACAATCTTCTGAGTATTTATACAATGTGCAGTGCTAAGAAACTGCATTCTTAATGGTTTGGACACTAGCATAGAAAAAACAGTGGTCAGTATAGGAAGTCAGAAGTTCTGGAAAGGAAATTTTGAGGTCCCAGTTTATTCATTTCCCTTTTATTGTGGAAAGTGTCTATTTTTATTTTTCTGGGTACGTTAATGTATCATTTTGATTATCCTGACCACTCTTGCACAAGCATGAAATGCATTCAGAATTAAAAGACTAAGATGAGTGTTTGGAGTTTGTAACAAGTGAAAGTGGTTGCAGCCTTAGCCAATGTGAAACAATGGGTAACAACAGATTATTCTTTAAAATGTTGACATACTTGAAGTAGTTACTGGGAATTACTGAAACGAGAAATATCTTTTCTTGTGTGTTTATGAAATACAGTAGTTAGTATCTGGCATCTTGTGCCTAACCCTCATCATTTAGTCAGTTTAAAGATAGGAGTCTGTACCTAGGCACTGTCTGCATATCGTAAGTTGTCCAGATAGCTTAAAATCATTCCAAGAACAAACTCAAATCTATGAGCAGCTAACTTTTTCTGTCCTGTTGTATAGTTGTATTGATATGAAAGGTAGCAATATATATATGGCAATAGCAGATAACTATTAACATGACTAGTTAGATAACTATTAACATAATTAATAACAATTGCATTGCATAGAAAACACTTTCTCTTCCAAGTCTTCTTAAACTCCCCCACTGAAAGTGTTTAATCTGTTATTTGTGTAGCTTCTTATGCAGCGGAGGCTTGTAGCATCCTTACGAAAGAACTTTTTGCTCCATGCTACCCCTATTTGAGTCCCATTCCCTATTTTGAGCAGTGCAGAAGAGACACAGTGCAAATGTGGACAGAATTGTTTTTGCTCTGCTCTGGCCCATTATGCTCATCATTGCCAAAGATTTGGAGTTATAATAGATTTCAGAAGAGGTGTCCCAGACTGTGGTGAGTTGCTTTTCATTTGCACTCTTAATAATTATTTTTGGAGACTTTAGAATTAATCCACTTCTCTCATTTCAAAGCTGATTTTAATTCAATGTTATCTTCTGATTGTCATTCTATCACAGTAAGATAAGATAAGATAATTCCTATCACAGTAGGATAAGGCTCTTTTTCTTGTGAAGAAATATGTCTTTGAATGTCTTTTCCTACCCACATTGCTATTATTCACTAGCTGCGTAAATACATTTGTTCTACTTTTTGTAGATGCTAGGTTTTATCTAATTCTTTAAATGAACCCTTGACAGAGATGAAAAACTATATTGGCGTATATAGCAATTCTCTCTGTATTGTTTTCAATTTCCATTCTTTCTGACATTCTCCAAGAGGTTATTTTCTCATTGTCTGTGAAACTAAAATGAGTATAAAGTGCTGAAAATACACGTAGAGAATTGCTGATTTTTAAATGAAGATGAATGGAGGACTACAGATTGCATGGAGATAGCCAAAGCCGACTTCTGTTATCTGCTTTGTAAAGAATAACCAGTAGAGGAGTAGATAATATTATTTTTCAGTTTATATGAACTTTTTTAGTAATGCAAAAGACGTTGATAGGAGATGTACTGCTGTTACGCATTTTTAAAAATTATAAAATTAAGGACCCTATAAAGCAGCCCTTAACTGAACCCCCTGATGGTAGGCTTGGATCCAAAAGCAAGGCTAAAAATCTTTTCTAAAGAACATTTAGCAATTTGACATCTGATAATTATCATCACATTGTGTAATTATCCATGTTATAATGCTTGATAAAGAGGATGTTGGGAAGTTCATCCAAGCTGGCTTATCTGTTTATATATCTGGGGGAGTAAAACAAAACAAAATGACAACAACTACAAAAACCAACCAACCAACCAAACCAAAAAACCAACGGCTTGTTTGAGTTCATTGTGGCATGAATGGCTGTGTCTACTGTTACTAAATGAATCTGTTTCAAAACTTTTAGTTTTCTTTTGCTTTTTTAAAAAAGTAAATATTTATAAGAATATATGTAAAAAGTCAAGCTTATAGGGTTTAAAATGTTTTCTTACTAATATTTCAAGCTCTTGAATTTATTTTAAGCAGGGCTTTATAGGATAGATAAGAAAACTTATGATGGTACTGTGCAACAGCTGCAAAGTGCACATGTTTTATTCATTGCTTGTAATGTTCCCTTTAAGATGTGAGTTTTCCAAAGCCCATGCATGAGAACTATACATTTGCAGAGTCAGAGACAAAAACCTCGAATTGTCCAGTTTCCCCAGTATAAATCTGGATTAACTGCATAGACTTCATTGGACTTGTTATTACTGTGGATTTACATCTGTTTAGTTTACACAGCATGGTGCCAAGATAGCAATGTTAGTGGAATTTAATGTAATTGGGAATGAAAGAGCAGAGATGTTTATCAGAAAACTGTTGGGAGGTACTCGAGTCTCTTGCACGGTAATTTGAGAGCATTGTTTCATTTGGACAGCTCTTTCATGTGAAGATACAAAGGAGTACAGTACTTGTGTATCTACCTGTGGCAGAACCTGCCAAGCACTGTCTGTGCCAGAGACATGCAGCAGTGATTGTGTTGAAGGCTGTGCTTGTCCCTCTGGAATGTACTTGAATTCCAAGACTGAAAGATGTGTAGAGAGGTAGGTGAAGTTGCAATTCTGATAGTCACAGTCGCTATTTCACACCACTGCGTTTAATAAATGTGTAACCTGTAGATGCTGTGCATTTGCAAAATTGGCAGGATCTTAGAATTACATAGAACCTTTATGTTGATCAAAAATAGTTCTGTTGTAGTACTGAAACTCATCCAATGTCACCAAACCTAATTGTTACATACTACCTCTTTCTGTATGTTAGAAATACAAAGATGCCCATTGATAAGGGGAGGTTCTGCTTTGTTATTAATTGATATGCTATGAGATATATGGCAGTATATATTGGTAGTTATCTAGGTCAATTTATTGCAGCTAAAAAAAATATAAATCAATTTGAATAGCAATTATTACGTCAAGGGGAATTTTCTACTTTCAATTTATGAGGTAATCACTACAGTTGTTTTTTTTTTTTTTTTTTTTTCTTCTACTCCAGAAATGAATGTCCTTGTTATTTTCAAGGAATTGACTATCCCCCTGGAGATAATGTTATCACATCTTTGGGCAAATGGTAAGATAACTGTTTTGGACAGAACTTCTTGAGGACTTTTGTTTTCAGGTTGCTGTGCTTACAGTCCAATACACTGAAGTGCAGAGTAGAAAGAAAACCTACTGCTATTATGTACATCCATGCTAACATGAAGAGACATAGAAAACTCCAGCACTTTCTGAGATTTAATTATGCTAATTAATTATGCTGTGGTGAATATTTGTCTGAGTGCACACTGATCATGTGATTGTCCATAAATGGATTTTTTTTAAGAAATGACTGCCAAAAAAAAATAATCTTTGCATTGATTTCAGTGGAGTTATATTGGTATTTGGCAGCTTATGTTTATAGGCTCGTTGAGAAGAAAGCTTTCAAACATAGTGATTTTGTTAGAAACAATTATGATCTTTATTTTTCTTCTAAGTGCCTCTGCTCTGGAACTTCCACTTTAAAAATGTGATTTCCTCTTCTGTTTGTCTATGGTGTAGCCTTTCTGTTCATCTGTTTTCAACCAGTTGTTTTATAAACATTTTGACTGAGATGCTGACATGCCAACAGTTGTGTTGCCTCCCTGTTGGTCCCTTTGGTACTGCTTTGTCTTTTGGCTGAGTTACATCCAAGTCCTTGAGCTAGAATACTTCACCTGCAATTCTTTGTAGCGTGCACACAATCCTGGATGTAACAACAGAGTGTCTGTAGCACATGCAGAATCTAATTTAGGATTTGTTAGCTGACTAGCAGCAGGTGTACTGGAGGCATCTTCACTATTGGGGGGGAAAAAGAAACAAAGGAAGAATGGTGTTGAAGTTGGTTGGCTCAGGTCCTCTTCTAGTGAAGCGTAAGTCCTGAACTGAGGGCACTACTACTGTGTTTTTCCTTGGTAGTTGCTATCAGACTTGCTACCATTTTGTATAACTAAAAACTAGTTTGGCTGTAATCAGAGTAGGCCATATTATGTTATTTAGTACTTCCTTGCATACAATATCTTGTCAGAAGGCTTGAGTTTTCTGTAGTTCACTTGTTCTCTTTGCTGTAGCATATCATGTAGGGAAAACTTGTCTGTTCTCATCTGTGCAATATATTGCAATGTAAAAGATGTTATGTTATTATAAGCTTCATAATGCACTTCCTTTTTCCATTTGTAATTTTCATTAGCATAGGATTGTTGGGGTTGTTTTAGTTTCTGATTATGAACAGATGGTTCTAGTTAGTTCTGGTAAGAAAATCACAGTAGCTTGCTACTCTAGATTCCTATCACATTACAGAATCAAGATTAGTTTGGGACAACATGTGTATAAAAATTAACAAGTGCAATTCAGTTTCCTCTTTGAGAGAAGTCAGCCCAGTTCAGTACAAAAAATTGTTGCAGTCTCAATAGCTTGTGATTGTACTATATTCAGCACTGGGGTTTTACGTGTGGGTATGTACAACTGTTGTTATTGTCAACATTTTCACATAAGCTAATAGCTTGCTTTCCAGCAGAGTTCTAAGCTGCTGGTATAGAAAAAATATTGAATGGTTACAACAGTATAATGAATGTTCATGTAAGAGTATATGCCCAGAACAGGGTACCTTGCTGTAACCTATATATATATATATATATACACATATTTTTTTTTCTCCATTAACTGCTGCATTTTCTTTTTAGATTATGATGATCCCATTATGAAAAGGGCTTGGTTTGCTATTATTGCACCAATCTGTTTGGGAGCAGTATAGTGATTTATTTCTGTAGGTATTTTTGTGTCAATCCTAGTATTTTAACTGCTCATAATAACAGTTATACTATGTGACTGTTGCTATTTTTAGGCCTTGTCCTGCATTTTATGTTGCACGAAAAGCAAAAGATTGAAACATAATTAATTATCCTTATGCAATATATACTTTCTTCTTGGTTCTAAGTTTCAGTGAAAACACGTAGTCCTTTTTTATTGATTTGTACTGCATGCTTCGTTATTATACAGAAGACAATAATACTTCACATCTTTCTGGCTCTCATTGCATCTTCATGTATTTTTATTGCAGCCATTGCAGGGATGGAGTAATGAATTGTGATAACAACATAATTGGTGAGTGAAGAGGTAGAGGGAGAAATTACTTCAGGTCTGCTTAACATGTATCTGTTAATATCTGTGAAACTCTTTATGTGCAGTAGAAGATTGTGCAATATATACAAATGAGTAATTGGCAGGATGAGACCCCTGATTTAGAAGTTATATGTTTACCTTGAAAGCAAGTCTGGTATCAAGCAACAGCATAATTGTCTGAAATCCTGTTAAATCTGAGCTTTTTTTTTTTTTTTTTTTTGTAATGTATATGAACTTAAAATATGGTTTTAAGAACTGACTGCTGTCAGTAACTGTTCACAGAAAATTTTCTTTACCTCTACAAAACCTGAAAAAATACCAAAAAAAAATAAAAATAAGTCATACATAAAAAGAATGTAACAAATACTTTTTCTATTACAGCATATTTTGTATGTTGTTACATATAATTGTCTAGACTATGGTGATGGTAGTCCTTATGCTTCAGTGAGAAAGGTTTTTATTTGTTTTCATTTCCAGAATTACCAAGTCTTTGGCCATTAGTTGAAATTTCTTCCCCCACACAATTGTGGTGGTCGTGCTGATTAGCAATAATATACCCCTCTCCCTAAGAAATCTTAATAATAAAACCACAACAAATCAAAATTCCTTTAATGCCCCACAACTGCTTTGGATATTCCTGTTGCACATAATACTAAGCACAACGCAGAAGCAATCATGCAATAAAGTTATCTGTGTAAATAATTTATCTCATACCTGTATTGGATATGAAATTTCAGAATTTCAGGTGTGAAGACTAATGTGTTTGTCTTTTTTTTTTTTTTTTTTTTCCTGCAGCACACAGCTGCCCAGTTGGACAGATTTATATTAACTGTAGTAATCCACAAGTTGATGCTGAACTCAGCAGAGAGAGAACTTGTGAGAATCAGCTGCTAAACCTCACTTTCTCAGCACACCTTCCATGTGTTTCAGGTTGTGTATGCCCACCAGGGTGAGTATTTTGTGTTGTATGTTAGTGTACAAACATAGATGACTAACTTCAGTACTGGTTGAGTAGTTAATGCTGCTGAAAACATGCCACATTACTACTTGGAGAATTTGAGGTGTAAAGGAGTGAGCATTATGCTCATGAAGGCTTACCACAAAAGGTACAGGCTACTGAACGTGTAAGAAATGGTAATCTAAAAGACAGGGGGAGTCAAAGATCTAATACCTCACAATAATAAAAACAACATACCTGGAAACAACATAGCAGGAATATAGAAAGGGTTTTGAAACTACTTGATTCAAGCCTTGTTTCTTGTATGATTCAAGCCTTGTATGAATCTACAGCGGATTCATATATATTTACATATTCTACAATATTTTGTAGAAATTTCTCTAACTTGGATTTTGAATATTTCACTAAGGGAGACATTTTTCATTCCTAGACGTTGTTTGCAGTGTAGTTTCCCTTGGAGGGATATTTAATCAGTCTCAGGAATTTGAAAATGAAAATGTGTAATTTTTTTTTTTTTTTTTTTGAATCAAACATTATTGTTGAGAGATTTTTAGAGATAAAAGTAATAATTATGTATTTGTTCTGTTTTGGATGGTATTTAGTCCTATAAGAACATAGTTTCAAGTTTTTGACTATTGTCACTCTAAAATTAACATTGGTAACTTGAGAGCATCCCGAAAACCAAGAATGAAAGCCAGATTCTCAGTCAAAATGAATTGAAATAGCTCGGGTGACGTCTGTGGGCCTACACTCATTTACATGTAAGTTTTTCTATGCTATGCTAAAAGATTGCTATCCAGACTGTTGTATTTCATTTTAACATTCAAAACCATGAAATTTCAAACTGTTCACATGAAGTGGAACCTGTAATTCAGTCCAACTGAAAGTACGGTACCATAGTGAAAATGTGAAGCGCTAAAATTTTGAAATTAAGTTGAGGCAGACATTTACAGTATTTACAGCTTACTGTGACTTCTGCCAATATAAATCTGCGTAGGTGTATGAGTGTAGGACCTTATCCTCTGCACTTAGGACAGAACTAGGAAATGGTACCACAAGCTTAGGATCTGGACCAGAAATACCAATTGGTACTGATGAAGTAGAAATGACCAAGTATTTGTTTCTACTCATCTTTCTAGGCAACCAGTTCTTCCTGGTGAAATATAAAACTGAGTTGACACTGTCAACTTTACAAGAGAAAAATAGCCATGGAATTTCTTTGATCTTAACATTAGTTCGTGAGCTGAAATCATTAGTTTCATTTCTTTGTTCATGCTTTTGTTCCTTTTCTGAGATCTTGTACCAGTTTAACCCAATTCATTTATCTGTAAGCTAGCCTGACTAAAGCAGTAGTTGGGTCAGGTTAGCACATTTTGTTCTTTATTTGATTTAGGTAAACTAATGAAAAACATTGTGCAGAAAAGTGTATGTATCACAGTTAAGAAACATTTAAAGGAAGCTACACTTTTTTTTTCAGAAGTGTAGTGAGGTGATTATTGTATCATGGTACCCTGAAAAATACTTAACACATACATCCACAGAAGGAGAAAAGTCCTGTTTTTACTGAATTTGGTGTTAAGATTTCAAGAAGCTAGTGTTTTTATTTTTAGCCTATCTAATGTCTAGAGTCTGAAATATTTTCTCAAATATTTCAAAATACTTCCAGCAGTACTCATTTGTTGTGCTTAGGGTACATTCTAGTGGAACTTGCATGAAATAGAAATTAAATACAAAATAAGCATATCATAGTGTAAAGTAGCAGTTATCTTTGTGGGTGTCATTCACATGACCCCATTTTAATCTGTAGCGGATAGATCAGACACAAGTAATATACTTGTGTATTACTTGATCATGTAGTTTTCTTCTGCTTTAGAAGCAATTGAGATAGAACATTAAATCTCCTAAAATTACTCTAAATCTCCTGAAACCTCCTGAATTACTCTACTCTGCTTTTCTAACATTTGTAGAGCTACGCTTCTTTTTTAAATAAGCATTTCATTTGTGTTTTTCTCATTATTTCTCATCTCTATGTTTAAATAATATATATGTGTGTATGTATGTGTATGTGTGTGTATATATATATATATATATATATATATATACACACATACATATCACATACATACATATATATATATATATATATATATATATATATATATTATTTTTTTTCCTGCATTCCAGAAAACTATGTAATCTGTTCACAACACAGCTTGTGTAAATTCAGCCTTGGAGTTGCATTTTCTGTTTTTCTGTTTTTGGGTTGCTATGATTCAAATGACTTATCCTATGTCCAGAGAAGGGCGACGAAGCTGGTGAGGGGCCTGGAGAACAAGTCCTACGAGGAGCGGCTGAGGGAGCTGGGCTTGTTCAGCCTGCAAAACAGGAGGCTCAGGGGCGACCTTATCGCTCTCTACAGGTACCTCAAAGGAGGCTGTAGTGAGGTGGGGATTGATCTGTTCTCCCACGTGCCTGGTGACAGGACGAGGGGGAGTGGGCTAAAGTTGCGCCAGGGGAGGGTTAGGTTGGATATTAGGAAGAACTTCTTTACCGAAAGGGTTGTTAGGCATTGGAATGGGCTGCCCTGGGAAGTGGTGGAGTCACCATCCCTGGAGGTTTTTAAAAGAAGTTTAGATGTAGAGCTTAGTGATATGGTTTATTGGAGGACTGGTTAGTGTTAGGTCAGAGGTTGGACTCGGTGATCTTGGAGGCCTCTTCCAACCTAGATGATTCTGTGATTCTGTGATAATGTTTGTGTACATGCAGACTTTCTGTATGTTTGCTCTGAGTAGATTATAAATTTGGTGTTCTTCCATTTTAATACATGATTATCTGTGTCTGTTTCACTGCTTGTTTCAGTAGTGGTCTGTGAAACTCTGGCAAAAAGCTGGGGTATAGAAAGCAAGACCTGAGTACGGCAAAAAATAATTTTTCTTCTAGCCTGTCTTCATTCTCCCTACCAAGCAGCTGTTCTTAGAAGATGGATGGGAATAGAAATTTAAGAAAGGTGATGAAACCCTACTTCAGCTTCTAAGCTACTTGTGTGGCCCAGCAGTAGTGGTAAAGGATACATGTAATTCTTGGGTCTGCAGGAATCAACCATTCTCAATACTGTAATGCTGAGAATCCCTGGTATAGATTTGCAGATGTTCCCTGTGAATTGGCCCAGGAGCCACAAAGAAATAAAAAAGGACTGAAAACCTAAGACAGGTTTTGTTGCATGTTAAGGATTACCTTGTAACACTTCTGATTTTTTTTTAATTGGTCAGAGATTGAATGTGACAATATTACAGGTTTATCTGTCTCATGGTTCATGATAACGAACCTGCAGGCATAATGAAAGAAAGACAAGTCATGGAAGAAGAGATTCTATATCTTTTAGAAAGCCATTTTACCCACATCTTAGAGGGCACTGCTGATTAACTATAGGAGTCTGTTTTATTATTATTTTTATTTGTATATAAAAATATTAGAAATTACAGATCTTGTAACATGGAGTAATATGAATGGCTTTGCCTCATCACAGAGCAGTGGATTTGTCAAGATATTTTAAACATTAAACAATATTGGTTCAGTCTAGTTAGGCTGCACACCTTGAATTTAACCAGTGATGTCTGATAGCTATGGTATTCTATTTTTATTTTTTTATTATTATTATTTTTTCTCCTGAGGGATTTATTTTAAGTACACCATGTTCTAATAGCACTTTAGGGTTAAAACTGATTACACGTCTTTAAAAAAAAGAAGAAAAAAATAACAAGAGCTGGTATTCACAGATTTTTAATTTTTATTTATTTATTTATTTTTTTTGTAAAGGGAATTTTCTTGAAAATTCTGTGATTCTGTGATATTCTGAGGGTTTTGTCAATGGCTAGCAATATACACAGCACCAAATGCAGAGTAATTATTTTTACTACTTCTGTTACTACTCCATGGTTTTACAATACAATTAATCTGAACAAAGGAGTCTCTGCTAACTTTTCAGCGTTTTGAAACATCTATGAAATCTTGGTCTGGATTAATTTCACTTTCTTTTAACTTTAATTTATAACCGTACTTCACCCATCAAGTCACAGAAGGTGAAGGCAAGTATTGGGAGAATGGAGAACTTCTCCCAGAGGGGCAGATCAGGTTTAAGACCATCTGTGCGATCTGAAGGTCCATGGGACCTGATGAGACCCCTGAAGGTCCTCAGGCAACTGGAGGATGAAGTTGCTAAGCCACTGTCCATCATCTTTGATAAGTTTTGCCAATCCAGTGTAGTTTCCACTGACTACAAAAGGGTGCACAAGCCCCGTTTTTAGAAAGGGAAAAGGGGAACTATAGCCCAAGGAACTATAGGCCAGCCATCCTCTCCTCTGTGCCTGGCAAGATGGAGCAGGTCCCCCTGGAAAATATGCTAAGGGACATGTAAAACAAAGAAGTGATTGGTGACAGCCAACATGGCTTTACTAAGGGCAAATTGTGCTGGACGTATTTGGTGGCTTTCTATGCTGGGGTTACAGAAGTAATGGATAAGGGAAGAGCAACTGATATCATCTACCTGGACTTGTGCAAAGCATTTGATAACGTCCCACACAACATTCTTGTCTGTTTATAAGGGAGTGCAGTGTTGGGACAAGGGATAATGGCTTTAAACAAAAAGAGGGTAGGTTTACATTAGATATGAGGAAGAAATTCTTCACTCAGAGGGTGATGAGGCACTGGCATAGGTTGCACATAGAAGCTGTGGATGTCCCGTGCCTGGCAGTGTTTAAGGTCAGGCTGGATGGGGCTTTGGGCAGGCTGGTCTGGTGGGTGGTATCCCTTCCCATGGCAGGGCTTTGGAACTAGATGGTCTTTAATGTCACTTCCAACCCAAACCATTGTATGATTCTCTTCCTGCTCGTGGTTAATTAGCTGTTGCTTTCTTGTTTTAGTGATAATCTCATTCCATTTCTTCCTTTTTAAAAATCATTTATTTTTTTTTCCAATGTCATTAATGTTAGAGA